GAGAGGTTGGCCTGCTGCCAGGAATAAATGAAATGCACGGAATCAGTAAATAAAAGGTTTCTGACAACTCATTCTAGGAATTATTTAGCAGTTGGGCTTTTTGTTGTTGGTGGTGTTGGTGTTCCTTTTGTCTCCAGCATTTATTGACATTCTCCATGAGAAATGATTATGCTGACATAAACAACGTAACCCAGGGATGTAGATGGATGGGGGAGAAGAGTCAGGTTCTTCAGGGTCATAAATTACCCTCCTGGAATCGCAGACAAACAGCAACTTTGGGGGGCTGATAGCACCAGCAGAGGCAATTAGAGAGCTGGGGCCCGAGCCACGGGCTGGCAGCGCACGGGCAGCCCCAGTGCCAGGCACCAGGAGCTTTCTGTGCTGGCCCACGGTGCCTCATTATTAACACAGATGTGCTTTTTTCATTGATTGGTTCAGAGATGATTGAGATTGAAATGCCTCCCTGAGACACGGAAGTGACGTTTTTGTTGATCCAGAGTCCAGCGTTCACCGCAGGAGATGCCAGTTTTGACAGTGAAATCATAGTTACGCCCTTGTAAACCCTGAGTGGTCAATGCAGCTGCATTGTTTTTCATGCTGGTGTTACAAAACTGAAGGCCCAAGTCTGTTTTCACTTACCCTGAGATTTGACATTTTAAGTTAGTGTGGAATAACCTGTATTTACACTTAGGCTCTGTCTGTCTCACTGTGGTGAGATCAGGTGACCTGATTAATAAACAGAGAGATTTTTAGTCATTGTGGCTATCTACTTTGGGTACCAACAGGCCACCAAGTTCACCTGGTAAGTCCTGGTTCAAAACTTCCTTCACTGGCTGAAGAAGCCCATTCATCCAGCAAGGCAGCAGCTGCTGGGGTAACGATGGGAGCAGCCCTGGCCGTGGGGATCTGCATATTCCCATTGCCCTGGTGACAAGGACACCAATGGCAGAGCAATCTGCTGAGCTGAGCACTGAAGGCGGCCTTGCCTGCCCAGAATAGAACTAATTAGACGAGGGTCAGTCCCTCACCACCATCACATTGGGGCAGTCTGGAGCATATGGGTCTGTCCTTGAGCCAGCACCAGCTCCATGGAGCCAAGAAGGGATTTATCTGCATGGTGTGGGAAAGAGCCCGCTGTGAAAATGTCTGTATCCAGTCTCTGAACACCCAAGTGACCTTCAGTCATAGGAGCCCTTGGGGAGAAACTCATCTCTCTGCCTGAAGCTGGCAGAGGCTCACCGAAGCCTGGTCCAAGCCAGAGACATAATGTCATCTTGGCTGGGGAATATTCCATTTGAAAGTATTTCCTTCAAGGTCCTCTATGGTTTCTCAATGCCAATGTCAGAGTTTCCTAGCCATATTGCTCCTCTGACATGTCCAGTCCCAGTCAAGATTTTGCAGCCTTTGTGCTCCCCTGTGGCAAATTTTCTGCCTCCTACTGCAGGTGTGTGGGACCAGGCAGGGCACCCGGGAACAGCAGCTCAGGCTCGGGGCTTTGGCAGTGCTGGAGGGGGGCTGGGGCACTGGGAATGCCCTGGACACCCACCTGGGGGAGGCTTCTCTTGGCTAATCAGCTCCCAGACCACAGAGAGCATTAGAGATCTGAGTGCTGTGCTGAACTGAATGAGTTGCACCCATTTCCAGGTACAGATAAAGCCAGTGGAGTTTCACAAGGCTGATTGGCAAGCAGCTTCTCATTGCAGATAACTCCCTGCCAGCATATCCTGAACACATAGGTGATTGCTCTTAAATTGATGGCTTGAAGCCTTTTTATTTAGCTTCTGCTTGATAGTCAGCGAATGCAGAGTGCAAGAAAAAAAACAACCCCAAACCACACACACACAATCCCCTCAAAGAATCAAAACCCCCAAAAAATCCTAAAAAGAAAAAAGTGCTGCAGAATTTGCTCTCTCTGTTACACCTCTCTAAGGATGAAATTATTTGGAATGGAGAGTTAAAGCTCCTGATGCTCCTCAAAGCCTATGATCAACACTGAGGGGTATTCAGGGTGTGCTGAATTTTCCAGCAGCCCCTGCCACAGCTGGGAATTGCCCTTCAAATGCAGCAGTCATTTGAGGGCTTCACTCTCCCTGCAGATTAGAGCTGGCATGCTGAATCTGAGAGGGAAGCTGGCACCCTGGTACTCTTGCCACATGACTCAGCTCTCAGCAGAAAATGGAGCATTTTTTATGTGGCTTCATCACTTCCAGCCACATTTCTCACAGCACCCCCTGCCAAAAGGGTGAACCCTGTGTGCTTGGAGCAGGCTGAGAAATGGGAAGTAAATGGTGGTGGTGGTAGTGGTGGCTGTTGGGTATTTGTTTTACTTTTTCACTCAGATTTGCTTTTCAAAATTGTAACTTCTTGAGCAAATAATCCTACAAATAGGTAGATTTGGAACTGGATGGTCCTGATGGGTTCCTTCTTACTCAGCTGATTCTATGATTCTATGACAGTATCTTTTCTTCTGCAGTCCAGTTCCTGAGGTCTGATGTACTAACTCATGTCTTGCTCTCATGTGTCTCATGTGTTCATAGGTGTACAGGTCCCTAAAAGAGAGAAGAACACATCCCTTTCTCAAGGCCAGCCTACACATGTACCTAAAAATATCAAGAGGGGCTCTTCCATGGCTCATATGACGAGAAAATTTTGCTTAACTTTTACTTGATGTGCGGTTTGTTTGCTGAACACGTTTACATTAGCTATAATAAAGTCCTTCCAAATGTATGGACACAGTATGGAGGGAAAAATCCCCCCATGCACATGTGCTTTTTTCAATAAAAAGATATGTAAAATCACTTTGAAATGCAGCTGAGATGTGGAGTTGATGTTGCGTTGCTTTCCTCCTAGACCATGTGTGTGGGAGGGGCTGAGGAGTGGCAGTGTTTGGGCTGTGCTTTCTACTCCTTAGCTCTACAGACCACAGGAAGCTCAGCTTGACTTTTTAGATATAAATAAGGCTTCAAAAGCTCTTCATGTTTTGTTCTGGCAATGAAACATCCCGTGGTCTAGAGCAGCTTGTCATGGACCAAACTCATTCCTGAGGGTGTTGTGCAGTTAAATCATCTTAACTGGCTGCCAAGCTGTAGTGCTTCCTTCTCTCACTTGAGCCTTTCCTAGCTCTTAGGAACATCCTGCTCCATTGCCTCAGCCCCAGCCAGGGAGGGAGGGAGGAAGTCTCCTTGGCTGTGGAACAGAGCACACAGTACCTTGCCCGAGGTTGTTGTGAAATTGTGTATGAAAATGAGCATCCAAATGCCCATCTTCCATTACCCCTGACATTGCCATACTGGGAGGAGACATTTCTCCCTCTACTCTGCAGGGTGGCATCTTTTGTTCCTGTGGGAATCCCATGTACTGGCTGTATGAAAAATTATCCCTTTTTTATTTCCAGAGGTTTTGGGTTTTTTTCTGAATTGAGTAGTCACACTAACAGTGCTGTATAGCACAGGTTTATGTGGAGCCATTCATCATTCATAGCTGGGATCACAGAACACTTCACAGCTGATTACAAGGTTACACATGCAGGGAATGACATGAACTGCCAGTCTGAAGTCAAGCTTCAAGCAGGTTTCTGGGCACACCCAGAAGATGAAAAGAATTCAGGGAGGAGTGAATGGCACACAAAGCATGAGACCTGCCCTCCCTCCTGCTGACCCACAAGACATCTCTCTGAGATATCCACAGAGGATGTTTTCTGCCTCCTTGGACACAGAATGGGCACCACAACACCCCATTTTCAGTGTGCTCCAAACACCCCATTCCAGATTTCTCTCTGAAGTGTCTTATGCCTAACAAGGACTGGGGCTCCCCATTTTACAGGTAAGTATTCACACAAGTGGGATGATGAACTGCAAAAGCCTTAGTCTGGTCAGACCAGAGAGCTTTAATCTGCTTCATGAGGTCAGGGTGGTGCTGAGAAGTTGGAAGGTACCAGCTACTGGCCCTTTGTTTTAGGGGGGACATTACAACAGATACTCAGCCTGAAATCCAGACTAACACCTACTGGTGTGGCTCTCCAGGAATTCTTCAGTGACACCATCTATACCCTGGGCTCACCACCCACTGTCTGGGGTGAGATGTCCCCACCAGCTGCCTCCCAGCCGTGCCTTCCTGCAGCACCCGCAGAGCACACAACTCTCCAGGCTGAGATGGAAATGTTTTCAGCAGGACTGTGAGCGTGAGGGGCCACAGAGCAAACCACAGCAATGGCTTCTTTAGCTTGGAGACAGCAGCCCGAGGTGGACTCTGTGTCGGGAGAGCTGTGCTTCGTCTCTCCCTGCGGGCACGGTGAGCTCAGCTGCCCCTGAGCAGAGCTCAGCCTGGCGCTGGGCAGCCCCATCACACGCTGCTCTGCATCTGCAGGGAGCCCTTCACTCTCATCTCAGGGGTGCTCCTGGTGCTGCCTCTCTGAGCTAGTTCTGCACTGATGATACAAACCCTGGCGTTCCTTCCCAGTCCTGTCACGCCCGGGGAACAAGGCACCCAGCAGAGGGTCAGTGACACTCAGTGGCACTGCTGCAGTCACCCAGCAGAGGGTCAGTGGCACTCAGTGGCACTGCTGCAGTCACCCAGCAGAGGGTCAGTGACACTCAGTGGCACAGTTTCTGTCACGCTGGAGCCCTGGGCTTGTCCAAAACCCCTCCTTGGAAGCGTGGCCCCTCTGCTCCCTGGGCTGCCTTTGGGACAGACAGGATTTAGGTTCTGTCTTGCAGCTGAGGCCCCTCAGGGGTGGGGAAAGCACAATTATTGATCCCGTTACCTCACAGCTGGTATCAGCACTACATTGTTTTCTAACATCAAGTCATTTTAAGTTGCCGCAATGACACAAACACATTGATTAAAAATTAAAACCAATGACGGCTCTCCCACAAAAAGTACTTACTGTACCATACTCACTCTGTCCTGGGAGGAGAATGAGAAAATAGCAGAAGACAGAATAATTTATAGTGATAAAATGGGTTACATTTTCATAAAAATTTTATTTTACTTTTTTTTTTTTTAAATAATTCAATGCACTGGCAGTATAATTAATCCCTCTATGAGAGACACGAATGTACCAGTTCAACCAATATTATTTATACAGAGACATTGTGTTTAAAAACAACAAAAGTACATTTAAAATGTTTGTACATAAAGTATTACTGTTATTTCTTTTTTTTTCTGAAGAAGGAACAAATGTAAACAAAATGCATAATTGTGCAACACGTTGAAAATACAAAGCAAAACAGGCAAGATACAATTTTATACATATAAAGCAAAAGAAATCAAACTTTTATAACTATACAACATTTCAGTAATTGCTTGACAGTTTAACAGTTACCTTGGTCTGTACAAAACATCTTAACTTATACTTAAAACTTTACAAGGATAACATGCTTGTTCAGAACAAAGACACCTTGTGGAATTGCAATGATTATTGATATGATACTTGCACACATGAGAAAAAGAAGAGGCTACTTCAATAGTAAATAAAAAGTAAGAACATAAGAACGTAAGGTAAAAGGCCATTTAGTAAACCATAATCTAATTCCAATAGCTAATTAAGTTGCACTGCAATGCAGAAATTAAATCTGACTTTTGCTGGAAGACCATAAGGTCATAATGTTGCTCTATTTCCAGGAACCAGAAGAAAGCATATATAAATTTTCCTGATATTTTGGTTAATTATACATGCGCACGCACACACACACACACAAAAGAAAAAAAAAAAGCAACAAAAATAGTATTTGCCACAACAGCCAGAAATGGTGGGTGAGAGAACCCACAGACCAGACTACTCCCAACATGGCAGGGTTAAAAAATCAGGACAGCCAGAAAGAGCAAACAGCCACCAAGTTTGCTGGGATTGCTTTTCCTAAACTTTAGTTGTATTTTGCTTTTTTTTTTTTTTTTTTTTTTCAAAAGACAGGAAGAAACTTGAATTGAGTTGAGCCATTCCAAAAATTCTGGGAGTACCACAGCCAAGCTGAAGAGAGCTCAAAACCAAAACATCACCAGATCTTTGACTTGTTTTTATATTCTGGGATGATATGTCCTAGACCTTCTGAATGTGGGTTTAAAAAAACCAAACAGTATTTAAGATTCAGTAGAAGATATGCAATCCAGAGATGTCAAAAATACAGACAGGAGTAAGTTATACAATATTTTATGGAAATACAAGGACTGTCAGTTTGGATAAAATGTACATAATTTTTAAGTGTCCTCAAATGATACATATGGCTAAAATTAAACCACTGATTGCAGCAACCTGACATATTCAGTGCCTGCTTCTGCAATCTATGTGCTGAGCACCAATTCACACAGTTCATTCTGTGGACTTTAGTGGAGCAACCTGCTCACCAGGATGCTCAGGGGAAGAACAGCAGAATTGGGCCTAAATAAATATTTGCCATGACTTCTAAATGTACAGAACCCAACTGGCTTAAGAAAACCACTTTAGCCTGCTGCAATGTCTTTGAACTAAAGTAACAGATTCCATCTCTAGACTGAGAGCATTTATGACATGTTTGAATTTATTTGCCATTTTTCTATGCAAGCTAATGCTGATGGCAGTAAATATTTAAACTGGGAGGTAATGAAATTGCAACATGCCTTTAGTTAAAACCAAAACATATGCAAGCCTAGATGGCAAGCAGAAATTACCCTCCAATGTTTTTTAGCAGGGATTATCTGGTGCTGAATCAGAATAGTTCAATACAGGCTCAGCCTCAGTGTGCATTTATAAAGCTGCATTAGGCCATGCAGCACAGTATGAAAAGGTAGAGGACTGGGTTTTCAGTTGGTGTAAATCAGCACTGACATCCACAGAGCTACTTAGAGGCACATCAGCTGAGGCTTTGGCCCACAGTCATCAGAGACATGCAGCCGTCACTCAGTCTGTATGAAAAACTCAGCTGTGGAAGTGCAGAGTGAGGTGTAATTGACATCAGATCAAAAGATGCTCTGCTCATCTTGTTTCTGAAAATGCATCTCCAGACTGTGTGGTCTAAAGCAGTTTTATGATGTGCTCTACACTGCATAGCTTTGCAAAGTACAATATTTCCTCACAGGCAAGGATTATGGTATGTTAATCATTTCAATGGCATGATCAGTAAAAAGGCATGATGATAAAAGCTTTGGAGTTTATCTGCATAGAGATATACTGGCAAAAATTAGTCTGAGATTAGAGGGTTTGCTCCTTGGTGTGTGCATATTGGATGTACTCCACTGAAGTCAGTACTCCTTTACCAGTTTACAGCAGCTGAAGAACTTGTACTCTACCTCTGTTATAAATAAAATATTTGTGTTGCTATCCACTATTCAATTCTTTCATAAATTCAAGGGTAAATGTCTCCTGCCAGTGGGTCAAAGCTTCTCCGTGTCCATAACGTTGTTACTTGTCAGTGGTGGTTTCCCTGAGCCAGGGCTGAGTCAACACATGGTCTGGTTGAAGAGAAAATCTGCTTGCAGTTATTCCAGCTCTAGTACACAGACCCTGAACTACTTTCACTGAGACGAGTGCCCAGCCAGAACAAAAATGGATGGAATTCCATTAATTAATTGGGTTAATGGAACTCAAGTTCTGGCCTAATATACACAGCTGCAGTAAGGCTATGCCATCTTTGTTATCCAGCTTCTCCTTTGAAAAACAGTATTCAGCAAGCTCGGTAAGACTTGCACTAATGCCACATGACAGCAGAATTTGGTCCCATGAATTCCACCAGTTGAGCCAAATTATTTTACATTTGCTTATCTCAAATTTTGGTCCACTGTAGTTGCTGTTGTTCAATAAAACAATTAAATTCACCTCAGAATCTGACCTTCCTTTGAATTCTGAGAAGAAAATAACGGAGTGGAAATTAGTGCTATCTATACTTGAAGGGTCTTTCAATGGTATTACAACAGGGTGACACAGAGCTGTGAGTAAACATATCTAGCACAGAGAGCTTATGGGCCTTGCAGACAGAGGAACTCAGTTAAAATAAAAAACAAAACAAGTCTCAAACAGCTGCATTGTCCACTCATATGCCTTTTTAGACTGGCATCAGTGGGACTCAGTTGGAGCCCTGTAAACATGAGTGGTCCTGTGGACACCACGATTTAAATTCCAGTTCTGGGTGCAGTGGGTATTGGCTGAGCTCTACGTGGCACCCTGTGCACGGCTTCTGTCAGCTTGACTGGCATTCCAGACCCAGTGCGAGCACAAGTGAGTGCTCAAATCCCAGCCCAGCTGCAGCTGCAGAGGACCAAGACCTGGAAGCAGTGCAGAGCCACAGCTCTGCTCAGCCAGGCGGTGGGGCTGGGCTGCCGCAGCCCTCCTGGCACAGCTCTGCTCCCCAGTACAGGGGACAGGGCCGTGTGGGGAGCCACACCACACAGACCTGTAACAGTCCAACACCCAGAGCAGGCTGAGGCTCAGGAGCTCTGTGTGGCTCCACAGCCTGTGGGAGGCAACACCAGGTCACACAATGCTGCCTAGGGTGGCTGCTGGGCCTTTGGGCTCGGTCCTTGCTTCTGTTGTAAAAATAAAGTAAAAATTAATGGTTTAACTGGATGGTGACTTCAGGGTAGTGACCAGAATTACCTCTCTGTGGCATGAGGTGGCACTCTGAGGTGCACTGAAGAGTTGGAAGCGGTGGTGCTGTATCCTGATTTCACAGGATACCATGGTATAGGTATTATTTTGCAGGACACATCAACAGTCATAAGTCCCCTTTCCCAAGAAGCACACTCAGCTTAAATTTACAATGCCAGAGCACAGCAGCTTGCCCCACTTTCTTTAAACCACTCTTGACATCTTTACCATTGCCTAGTATCATTACAGTGCCAGTGAGCTGCCTGACATGTCACTACACACCCCGTGATTCTGGGAACAGCTTTTCATCACAGTGTTTCTGCTGCAGTGCCTCCTGATGAGGCCAGCTTCGATTCTCATGTGACACCAGTTTTATGCAGTAACTCATCTGCACCTGAATTTGCTCTCATCTCTCTATAGAGCCAAGTCCTCCCCCGAGTTGAACACAAGATCTGAACACAATCTATTCTGGCTTCAGCAGCCACCACAAGAGGTTTAAAGTGGTGTGAGATGATCAGAATCCCTGATCTTGGAAGACAAAACATCTCTGAAACAAAATGGCTTAAGGAAACTATGAAGTCCATCAGAAAAGCAGGTCTGACAAGGGTACTGGGAGAAGATGACTACTCTAAGTCAGGGAGAAACATTTTGCATTCAGTGGCAGAGAGGTTTCAGTCATGAAGGAGGCCCTAACAGCTTTTAGCCTATACATTTAGGCTAAATATCGAGTGATATAACCAAAATATGCCTCCACATAGACTTATCTCATTAGACAACAGATAATGCCTATATGTATTGGTGTGCCCTGGTTATATCATGGAAGTTCAGGAGGATTGTTGGAAACTGAGGAACTGAGCTCTCCCAAGATTAAGACTTGTTTTATTTGTATTTATAAAGTAGCATGTAAAGTAAAGCTGGAAGATGTCATAAGGACATTGGATTAGTTTTCCGTCTTCATCCCCTTTGCCTCACTCCCAGTGTATTTAGGTGAGGTCAAGGAGATGCTGAGAGACAAAGGCCCTTTGCAAAGAGCCCTTGGTCTGCCTGCCTACAGTTGGGACCCTTCTACACTTGCTTCAGAATGGCAACTTTATTTTCTTTGGTGTCTTGTTAAATATTTTGTCTTTCTTAAAACTTCAAGACACTGGTTTATGGCAAACGAGTTAACCTGAAAAACAGCACATTGACACAGCACATCCAGCTGTTACACTGACTTTAGGGACCACAGGACTAAAAAGACAGAGTTGTTGCTACTTTCTGCCACACCTTCATTTTCTGCAAGAGGCAGTAGCTGCAAACAGGACTATGCACAAACTACAGAGGAACACTTGAATAATGCCACTAGCACTAGCAGTGGTAGGAGTGTTTTCCGTTTACAGCTACCATATCTTTTCTCCTGTGCTACAAAGTAATGAGCAGGGACTCTCTGTTGCAAATCCACGCATAAATCCACACAGATGTGTACACACACTCACACTCGTGGGCTTGCTTCAGTGCTGCATGGAGTTTCTCCTGAACTCCAAGTAATGAAGTATGTTAATACTTAAGTCAGAATCCCTACCAGCCCCATTTTTGTTATCTGTTAATTTACACACACAAAACTAATAATTGGATTTAGACAGCATTAAATGCTGATAAAAACTCACTGAAACAATTTTTTCCAAAGTACTTAAAAACATCAGTGAATCTAAACTGTCATAACAGAAGAACATAATAAAATCTGTGACATTTAAAAAAGCATGGAACTTAAATTCCAGATTCAATTGGCTAATTTTGTTTCTTTAGGAGGAATGAAGATCTCCAATCCTATTTTTTAAAATCCCCCACATAACTATCAACAGATCTGTCTCTACTTTTCAAAGGAGATAATTTATAAATGAGGCAATCTATTCACAGAGAGAATATTTAAATAATTGAAAGTCCAAAGAACATGTAAGAAAAAGTGAAATTAAGATGAAAGCCATGAAAGTTGCCACCAACACGATCACAGAAAGGCTTTCCCTCAGCTCCCTGCTCTCAAGCACCCAACACACATCCCATGGCTGGAGATGTTCAGTGCACTTGGAGCTGGATATTCTGCCTGTACATTGTCAAATACCTAAGACGTGCTGCAGCCCTTGAAGTGGAGGTTAAGTGCTATGTAAATGCCTCTCTTGAACTTTTAGGACTTTATTGCCCTTGGGTCGTGCACCCCAAATGCCTGAGTTTAGCCCTTTACAGGCCTGCTCCCTTCATTGCTGAACTCTTGATATTGCTCCAAACCTTCTCAGGCATGGGTCACAAGTGACAGTCTTGTCAGTTCTGGCAGTGTTCTACAAAGCCTGGTGTCCTTCTTAAATCCAGCTACAGAAGTCAAGAGATTATATCACTGTTCCAGTTTATCACTATTAAAAAGAAATGTGTCAGTTCCAGCCCTTGGCACGCTTGTAAAATGCCTGAAAATGCGTCATTAAACCAGTCCCAAAGCTCACCATCCAGAAGGCAATACAGGAACCAAAGAGTTTATTTAAAAAACCAACAAAACCAAACCACAATTTTAAGCCAATCTTGTAATTTTTGATGCTTGGTTCATGAGTCTGAAAGCTTAACTTGGGCAGTTTTAAGTGCAGACATTGCAAAAGCCCAAGCACAGACATGCTGCTTCCCCATGGATTGAAACAAACAAACAATATTATTTGATTAGCTCTGCTGGAAGTAATATTTTAAGGGGTAAAATGATTCCACAAAGATGACATGTTGGCAATTGAAATGAGATGAATATAGTGCTTGTAAAAGTGCAATAATCCTTAATAACTAACCCAAAAGAAGCATCATCCCCAGGGATAAGACAGTAATTTACTCTCCATATTTAATTTGTTTCTAAGCCGCTTTTGAAACAAGACTGCTAAATAGTAAGTTGGCTTGTGATCCTAGACTTGACTGCTGGACTTATTATCATCATGCCATTGATTCAGCATACATTTCAACCTAAGTCACAGGATACAAAATCAGGAGGGCTAATTCCTTAAGCTGTTTAAGCAAAAGATTGTGATCGTGGGGTAAATTCAGAGATAGGAGCCTGTTTACCACAAGCAACAGGGAAAAGATAATATATGGTGATTACTGAGCGACTGCAGCAAACTCTGAAGAGTCCTGTGTCTGAAGACTGTCTTTCAAGACATTGCTATCCCTTGTAAATGCATGGAAGTCTTGGATTTCAACCTACATTAAAGGAGCAAGGGATGACTATGCACTTAATTAGACTGAGTAGTTACTTGCAAAAAGAATGGAAAACTCTGGCTTATGACAAAATCAGCCCAACCTTAGCTCATCTTAAGTACCCAAACTGTTAAAAAAATTATTTCAAATGTTTAATTTTCTTTTTCTTTTAAAAAACCCTGACCACCACCATTCATCTACATTTCTGAATAGTTCTCACTGCTGTGGTTTTATTCATTAGCTACTGGGGCCAGAGTTGGCATGACCAATGTGTCAGATTCAGGTTTCAGCCGTGTTACTGAAACCCTCAGAGAACAGATAAGGGTGAATCAACCACTTCAGGAACAGGAATGTGCAGATAATACAGGATGGGCATGTTCTGCAAACGTCCTTAGCAGAAACCCTACACTGCATAATTTCTCTAATGATGCACGTTGGCTGTGTTTACAATACAGGCTTGTGGAACAAAATGTTAGGAATTATTGATTTTTAAGAAAAGGTAGTACTACAGGGAGCTAATATGCTACAGCTACAGAAATGTTTGTCTTAAATGTGCACTGGGCAGAGTCCTTAAACTGCTCTTATTGCAAATATCCAAGGCCTGCTCTAAAAATCTTAACAGTCTGAACCTTTTAAATGCAAATTTGTCCTGTTTATCTGGTCACAACCCAGTGAGTAGAATCCAATAACTCACCAGATAAAAGAATATACAGGTTTATATAGCGGAAGGTAATTGCAATTAACTAATGTCTGGATGGCATTTAATACACATATTGTATTATTTCAATGAGATGAGACAGAATAATATTTACATTGCTATGAGCGTTTTCTGTTTATAGAAATGGAATTTACAGTTCAGTAAGGTATGCAGGCGTTATATCAAGAATGAGATGAGACCATTTAAAGTCTTGTGAATTATTGATATAAATTCATTTTGTTTTGTTTCATGCACCAGCGCTTCTTGCAGTGGCACCAGAAGAGCAGTGCAGTTTATAACAGGGAAAAAAACAAGAGGAAAGAGCAAATGTGAAATGGTGCAATTTATTCACAATTGCTTTGAAATTCTATCTGAATTGTCTCATTATTATTCACGCATTAGAGGAATGGTCCAAAACATGACAGCATGGGTAAACAGATGCAGAGCTTGGAAAAAAGGTAATCTGACTGAAGTATTCATGGCCATTATTAAACAAATGTTATATTGCTTTTGGGTAAATCTGGTGATTTTATTTAATTTGACAATGTTTTCAAGATAGCAAGATAATACTGTTCGTTTCTAATGCTCTGAAATGAACAAAACAGGTGAAAATTGATGCCACATGGAATTATAATGTTTCAACAGTAGCTGGTTAGTTAAACTTCTAGATAGTTCATGGAGAATCTGCATACACTTATTAATGGACTTCTACATACAATATCAATGCTTAGAGTGCAGCAGTCCTGTTAAAATCTGCTTTCAGTGAGTCACTATGCAAGGAGAGATTGTTCTGTGAAGAAAAATCTTGGATAAGTATTTGTTTGAGACTAAACAGTAAAACAGAAAGAAAATTCACAGATTTAGTACGGTAATGGTAGATAAGACTAAGAAAGCTAATATTTTGAAACTGCCTAAAAACTGCAATAAATTCTGCTGCCTACTGAAATGATTAAGCCAACAATAAACAGGAAGAATGGAATATCAAAACCTCATTGCATAGTGTGTCATCATTCTTTAATGAGGCATTCCTTCAACCTTTTACCTCTTAACACCTTTGGTGATCTTACATTATGTACCTGTAAGATATTCAACATTCTCTTTTAGAGATTAAACCCAGAGGGAGTATGAAATCTTAGGAATGTACTGAGTCGGGTAATGATGCCAGAATTAAGCGTCAAAAAGCTTGGTTCAGGTTCAGAAGATGATTTTGAATGAATAGCTATAACTTCTACTAATTTATTTCAGAAGGGACTTCTCATATATACCCTCAAATATTTAAGACGCTTTGTACTATTTCTCAGGAATCCATATCTTCTCAAAGTGCTTTTTTTGTTTTCACTTGAAGGCAGCATGGACTTAAAACAACACTGCAGGGAATGTACCGTTCCATAAAGCACATAAGGATGGCAGGATCCAGGAGACACAAGGCATAGAAAATTGTCAAAGATGATTAGATGGTACAACACATACTGCTCTTGAGTCATAAGTTTCATTTATGGTGACTTCTACTTCCAATAGATAGGATATTAAAAAAGGCAATAAAAATGAAGTTACATGAATAAACTTCCAAAAATGAGTGGAGTTCCACCAGTGATCGTCTCTGCGCTGGTAGAGGTAGAAGAATGGGGATGTCATGAGCAGGGCAGCAGTCACTACAACAAATGAGCCTCGATGCGGAGCCAGTGGAGTCCCTGGCGAACGTAACGAACCAGATTGGTCATACTGCTGTGTTGTGTTAAGGGTCCCATCACTGAGTCCAGCTCTACAAAGAACTCTGCAATACACAAGAAACAGAAGCAATTTTTCAGGCAGTGGTACAGAAATAGAGGCATCACCATGATTTCCCACTCAGAAGCAGCAGAGTGTAATTAGTGAGTTCTAAAGACAATCGTGCACATGAGCACATGGTCCATAAGAAAGAATTTAAACAACAACAATATATTGAAACAAACCAAATTAGATTATCCATGCTGGAAGTGTACCACAGGATGGTATGAGTGGTTGCCAGTAGTCTTCCTCTAACTCTGATCATCTGCACTGTCAGTTTTTCAAGATTATGTTTGCTGACTGAATGATTTAAATAGCTGGCAATGGAATCTTGCATTACTTTTCCATGCTGTTCTCTTTCCCAGACATGAATGGCTAGACTGGATCTTTCCAGACTAGAAGACCTTTCCTGTTCTTTTTCCCATTCTCTAATTTTTGTTACTGACATTGCAGCACTTTCAGCCCTCTGCTCATCCTGCTACAGCTGCAGGCCCCAGAGGATGAGTGTGGGATGGGAGCTGGGGAGGAAGAGGAGAGAGACAACACAGCAGGAAAATAACCCTTTGGAGACGGGAACCTCTAAGGGGGAAGAATTGCAACCCTGGGATTCCTGGTCGGGAAGGGTTAACAGGAGGTCACTAAACAGAGAGCCCCAGTTAGGAAGTGACACACCAGTTTATTTTATGTCATGTGTTAGATGCTCTCTGGGTGAAAGACTAATCCTGTTAGGGCCAACAGACCTTTCCTAATTGCTGTCAATGGAGAACTGAATTGTGTCCTGTATTCTCCCACAGTTCTTTATGCTCGCTGGGGCACAGGCATTCCCACATACACAACACTTACACTATATTTAGGCAAGTGGGAACCCGCTCTCAGTTAAAGCCCCTCAGAGCTCAGATAACAAGTAACAATCACAGTAAGGAATGGCTGAGGCCTCACATTCTCACCCTGTCTGCAATCCAGTGCACTGAGCCAGCCAGCACTGCATTGGCTGCACTTCAAGAAAGCAGATGCTGGGTACAAAATCATTATCAGTACTTTCTTCAGCGAGTAAGTGCTGCTTTGAGGTCTTCTATCCAAGTATTGACAGCCTGACCCTGGTCAACTTGGGAGCTACAGCAGTATCAGAGCACAAAGTGATTTGGCTGGAGGCAAGCACAATGAGAGCTCAGGGCTAGCACCAGTGCTGTTCAGATGCTGCAGCCAGCAGCTACTTTTAATCTTCCTTTCTCTGTCTTTCATTCATCTCCTCCAGTGTAAAATCAATACATTTTGAAATGAAATAGTGCACTATCTTGCTTGAATTCTAGAGATCTCATTCTAGGCTCAAATAAACAATAATTGCTTTAAACACTGAGAATTCACCTTGAAGCCTAATTTCAGGTTAACATTTCTGGAAAAAGCTACAAGCACTGAAGCCACTTAATAAATTTATGCATGAGAGAACAGGTCTTGATCCCTATAGACCTGGTCATTTTCTGCTGTAGAGGAGAAGTCCCACTTTCTTCAGAAGCATAAAAAAATAATCCACTCTTGTAAAGTCAGCTGAGAGTTTGATGTTATAGATGGGTCAGGTGATCCAACACAAACCATCCCATGGGCTTTGGGAAATCTGCAGATTAGTTTGGCCTGCTACAGGTGCAGATTTATGCCAAACTCCATCTATTCTCCCCACACACTCAACCCTGTGGACCAGGGGATTTCACCAGAGGTACATGGCAGTATGTTCCTGATTTCCTTTCCAAACCAGATCAGCTTGGCGGGTCACAGTTCTGCTGCTCTCCCTGTTGCTGTGCATTTTTATTTTAATGGCACATCTTTTGTCAGGGTGACAAAGAAAGGCTTCTGTCTGCTGCTCTGAGCCAGCTGAACATGAGTCAAGTCCAAACTGCGAGGTGCAGGCAGACTCAGAGGAGCACAAAGCCTAAGCTGACAGCCGTGGACAAGGGGACAAGCACAGCTCCTACAGTGGGGAGGAAATTCCTTGTGACTGCATGGGCATGACCTAAAAAACATTCATGACAGCAGTAAGACCCAGAGGTAATTGTTATTAGGCCACAGTTTTATACCCATCTCAGGACAGATCATCAAGGACATATTCTTTTGCAAGACACACCCTGTGATTCAGAAGACAACAGAAACAATTAGAGCTGACCACAAAAACTCACAGAAGTGACTGAATCTGGTTGGGGGGGGGGGGGGGGATCTCATTTTTTATAAAGACCTGACTGCCCAAGCTCCTGAGAGAGAGAGCAAATGATGACCTGGGACACACAGCAGAGTCTGGGGTTTGCACTGTCCTGTTTACTGTCATGGGCAGTTTTGAGCCCTCAGTCCACAGGCCAGTGCAGCAGAGCTTGGGCAGTGCACCAGAGCTCAGACAGCTGCAAAGGTGGACTGGAGATCACCAGGGAGAAAGCGGTGAGTCCTGTTCCAGCCAACCAGATAAAGGTGCTTTGAATTATTTGAGAGGTGCAGATGACATCTAGTGAAACAATTACAGCCAGTTTTCATGAAACACTGCACCATTTCTCATGTCAAAGTGTCTTGAATACATCCTTTTTTAAAGAGAATCCCTCATGTGGTATGATGGAGACCTGCAGAGTACTACAACAGTTCTCATATACTTTTTGCTACACCATGAATTTTTCAAACTGCAATTTGTGTTTAAGCATGCAACTTTAAATCAAGCACTTAATTAGAAATGAGGTATCTTTCCAGAAAATAAAGGCAGACATGCTATAGCATGTAGGAAACTCTGATCTCTCTCCAATGGTTTACAATACTTAAATGAAATTTGAAGTAACATGAACTTTGCATTCCCTGCAACATGTCTGCAGGTTGTGAAACAAGATATGAAAGAACAGGTCACAACCTTAAATGTCTTTCTTATGTGAGAAACCCTTATTCATGCATCCAGTCCCAGTAAAGTCAAAGGGACTGCTCATCTGAATAAAGAGTATTCCTATATGGCTTTGCAGAATTGGGTTTATTTGATCATAAATCAAAATGAGAACAAAGAAGAGAGCAGGGAGGAAAATGCAGAAAGAGAATCAGCAGGTTTTTTCTCATCCAGCTCTAGGACTGATAACAGCAGTGGCTGGGTACATTTTCTGTCTGCTGGCTGAATGCCTGAGCTATTTTGATTTAATACCAAGTAGAACATTTAACAACTCCACAACACACAGGGCTAATTACAAGATTATCACCATCTCTTCCTCCTATCAGGGCATCCTTCTGCATTCCCACTGTAACATTCTGCATTACATTTGACAGGGATTTGCTTTCACATTTTGTGAAAATGGATGCAGCTATGGAAAAAATCCAAAATGACTGCACCGCTACTAAATTAATCAATGTGAACAAAGACAAGAAGCAGTGGGGAGGACTGGACAGAACTTCTATTATTGTTCCTCATCCAGGGATGGATCATTATGACCCACCATTCAGACATAAAACTCTATAAATCTCAAGCTCAGTTTCTCTAAATCAGTGGAAATTTGCCACTGACATTAATGGGAGTAAGATCAAACTGCATACAGCAAGCACATTTGTCAGGACAAGTCTGCCATCTGAAATCCCACTATAATTTAAGAGAATGAGCCAAGTCATGATGAGACTATTTCCTAGTTAGGCTCTGTACCTCTAGTGTCAAAGGAAGCTTTCTCAGTGATTTGTGTAAGCCCAAAGCTGGAATCTGAATAATTATATTGTCATGGGGAAGTTCACAGCTGGACAACAACAGGCCAAATTTGTCCCTTAGTTATATCTCAGTCACTCCACTATACTTGATACAATCCAGTCACAAACTGCTTGCCAAAACTCCTTTGAAATGACTGTGGTAAAGACTTACATTTTGTTGTTAGGAATAAACAAAAAGATCTGCAGTCCAATCATAGGAGCGTCAAGGTCATGGCTTTCAGTGGACATTTTCTAATCGGACTCCCCACATAAACATAACATATAATGTTTGCTTATTATCCTAGCTAGCATTTTAATAGTCTTAAACCCGTTGACAGAGCAATCGGAAAATAACCTCGGTGCTCTACGAGAGGCTGAAACTGTGAACGAATTTGCAGACTTAAAAGCTCTCATCACTTGGGGCTTGTGTTCACTAAATTATTTGCCAGCTGCTCTGATAACCCCATGTTCAGCGTGTGTTACACATCCCCCTCTGTGCCTGACAAGAGAAGACACGCATTGGCTACAGCGACCAGCAAGCAGATTTGGTGTGTTTGCTCAAGCTGTCACAGTTGTGCTCTTAGATGTGGTGGTTCTGGGTCCAAATCCAGAGAGCGCTGGGAAAGCTAAAGCTGGGGAGCCAAAGGGGACACAGAGAAAGCAGAGAGGGCGGCACCTTTGTTCTCCTTGGTCAGCTTGTCAGCCATGTCCCAGTGCTCGTAGCTGCGCAGGACGTTGTTGGTGATGTTGACGTGGCTGGCAGCCATGTGGTGGATGCGCTGCGGGATGGTGATGGTCCCCGCCGAGGACGAGCCCGCGCTGCCCGAGCTGCTTCCAGCAGAGCTGACAGGGGACGGGCTCAGGGACATGGGCGAGGGGGTTTCTGTGCTCCTGCAAGAGGCAGAGAGAGAGTGAGTCCCCCTCACACCCCCCACTTCACTGCCGTCCTAAATGCACTTGAAAAGTTAACTCTGCACCCCAGTAAAGGGGAGCGTGTAGGGGTACCTCCTGACTTTATGAGAAAGGACAGCTTATCAACTGGGAATGACTGAAAATAAAAAGGGATTTAATTCTCCCTTTAAATGAACCTGTTATTAAAAAAAAAATCTATCATAAAAATAGAGCAATCTTTCAGAGAAAGAAGCATCTCATAGCTGTAATGATTTTTCTACCTGCTGCCAGAAGCTGCAATGGCAGTTAGAAAACACTCAATGTGCAATATTGGCTTATTATCAAAGTATTTTCTGGAAACCACAATGACAGTTTGCTCCAAAAACAGTCACCACAATAAGTAAAGAGCACGTCTTAAAAGCACCCTGTAGAGCAGTATTAGGACCTGAGGGTACTGCAGGATTATGAATATCTCCATAGGATTCTTTAAGGCTATGGAGATTTGTTCTAATTGCCTACCGTTCATCCACACAGTTCTGCACAGCACAGTGTTTTAAGTTACCTACTTAGCGAGGCACTAATGTTCTAATATAGATTTTCCTTTAATTCTAACACCATCAATTAGGAATCACCTGCTGGCTGCAGGCAGTGCAGTGGTCAGCACAGCACGCTCTTGTTTAGAGCTGTGTCGTGCTGAATGCTCACAGAACAGCTACTCTCTTTGAAAATTTATAGGATCATGGATTTGTTCAGGTTGGAAAATACCTTTAAGATCATCCACTCGAACAGTTAATCCAGAACTATCAAGTCCACCAGTAGCCCATGTCCCCACATGCCATGTCAACATCAAGACACTTTTAAATACCTCCAGGGAAGGCAACTCAACCAAGTCCCTGGACAGCCTATTTTGGTGTTTGACAACCCTTTTGGGGAAGAAATTATTCCTAATCTCCAATCTAAACCTCCCCTGGTACAACTTGAGGCTATTGTCTCATCACTTGTTACTTGGAAGAAGTAAAAAGAGCCACCCTCCTGCCCAACTTGGTGCCATCCACAAACTGACTGAGGGTGCCCTTGATTCCCTTCAAGATCAAGGGGGCTCTAGATCATCAATAAAGACATGAAACAGTACCAAGCCCTGGGGAACATCACTGGTGACCAGCCCCAGCTGGATGTAATTTCATTCACCCATTTGGAAGCACTTGCCTAAACAAAAGCATTATATTTGCTGTGGAATACACTTGAGATGCAGGGCCAAGACACTCCTGGCACTCTCTGCATGAAGCAAAGAGACCAAAACTCTCCAGACAGGGATTTTGCAACCCCTCCCTGGACATGCAGCTGTAGATACCTCGTGCTGTGCAACAGCATCAAGCTCAGTCACTGAGCCTGATCCAAAGCCCAGGACAGCAGGGCTTGGCCTCTTGGCTTTAAAGGCCACTGTCAATGGCCTGGGCACAGACCTGCTGACACCTGGAGGTGCTGCAGGACAGACTGACACGGTGCCACAGCCTTGGGCTGAAAGGCATCGATGGCAACAGCTTTTGCTGTGGATTTTCCAGCAGTGCCCTGCTATAACCTGTGCTCAAAAACAGGCTCCTGTGATACATTCTTTTTCCAGAGCTGGAGATCACATTGATTTGGCAGCTTGTAGCTTTTTACCCAGCTTATGGGTTAGAGTTTAAGCATGTCCTAATGCACAAATGCTTTATTTTTAAGTCTCAAAACATCCTGGTTACCTGACTTGCCACAGTGTCTTTATTGCACAGAAAAACTGAACTATACTAGATTAGGTCTGGGAGCAGTTAAAAATGATAAGTATCTGAGGAGACCAAGAGTATTTTGTTAGAGCCACTTACAACCAGCTGACGCACTTCTGCCAAATAAAGCACATTGTTCATTGGATTTACCCTGTTGTGCACAGCCATTATTACTGTGGTGAGTCTACTAAATCTCTGTATTTTGTGCTTTCTGTCGCTAGAGGTGGGAAACATTTCTGTAATGAAACCAGAGAAAATTTGTTTCATTGCCAGGATGGAACCCGGGCCAACTTTTAGAGGTTCACAACCCTTTCAAACAAGTAGGCAGAAATTCCAGTAAGCCAAGCTGTGATTTTTGATGGATCTGAGATCCTGACTAGACTACACTCCATGGCAATGGATAAGCTTTGCTTTGTTAAAAAAAATACTTCAGATTACCCCACTGTCTCCCCATCCTGCACCAGGCTGCTGCTCCATCGCCAGCGATGCCATATGCTGGAAGGTGTTTGGTCTTTTTTTCTGTGGTGTGTGAATTCTCTTTCCATCTGACACAAACTTGCAGGGGATTAAGAGAAAACTGTAAAGCAAGTAGCCCTGGGGAAGGCAGAGCAGAAGCTGCCAATGGCAGCACCAGGCCCGTGACAAACCTTGGAGGAATTAGGAGCCACCTGAGACAGATGGCAGCTCTGAGCCTGCTGGAGAGCTGTTTTCTTCTGAGATCCACACAGAGGGGACTGTGGACTGTGTGTGGACTGTGCTCTCTGTGTGTTGGGTCACAGGTGTCACAATAATGCTATTATAACATGGCCCTGTCACTCAGTTACTCTCACATGTCAAGTGCTTCCTGCTCTGAATAGAAGACAGAGATGTGCGCTTTCAGAGCTTTCCTTCCTTATCTCCAAAGTTAGTAAGAACAGACTGATCAGCTGGGTGCTATGTTAGAAGTGATGCTGACCTGAAGGCTGGGTTTCTGATGCCTACTTTGTGACCAGACAAGAATTTTCTCTTCCAGTCAAAACCCACTTATTCTCAATCCTGGACACGTAATAGCTCCTTTAAATAGCGAGGGAGATGTCATCACCTGCAGAGCACACACTTCACAGGGGTCTATTATAGGACAGGAATAAAAGGATAACTTCTGCTCCATGAAATGTTTATGCACAAGCCTCTTCTTAAGGAACAAAAGAGATGTTATGCTCCAGTGGTCTATTTGATCACTAAAACTTTATGTTAACATTTATGTATTTTTATTACAATACAAGGTTTCACTGACACTTCAATTTCTGGAAAAACTGGCACATAATGAATAATTTAATTTAGTAGTTGCTTTTCCAGTGTTAAAATATCGTTTCAGTTTTTATTTGAAGTGATTTCTTACTTCATCACTTTAGTTTGTGTTAGAATCTACACTTTAAAAGCTCTATACATACATATTCAAAATAACCCTGAGTATTTGGGATGTGTATATATACATATCTATATCCCAAAATATTTTGAATTATTTGAGGCAATATTTCACTTTAAGCAAAATGCTGGAATTTTTGGTTTTGCACTGATGGAGAACAAAGTCTGTTTGAAAACTTCAGTTCTTTGTGTGCTAAAGTTCAACCCCTCCTTCTTTGTTTCCCTGGTGTGTCTAATAGTAATTTCTTCTTCTGAACAACCAGAAAGAGACCATTAACAATAATAATTTTCACCTGGAATTTAGCCTACTCAAATAAAGAAGTCCTTCACCTCTGTTTTATTTGTGTCTGGATGTGTGACCAGGACAAAGAAGCAGGAGAAATGTGTGTCAGCTGGAAACAGCCATTGCAAGATAAAGGCAAGGATGCAGGAGAAATGCACCTCCTCTGATCATAACTGCATTACCCTGACTTCATATCTGAGGTGAGGGTGTTTTAACGTTAATATGAAGCCACTGATAATTGGCTGACTAAGTGCCTTCACATTTTCACCACTATTATACCTTCAGTTTTATTAAACAGCACTTACCATATATCAGTGAAATATTCATTGGTCTTTCATTGCTGAACGAACCATTGAAAAATCATTGCAATGAAGGTTAACTTTACTTTGGCTTCCTAAAGTGTCATGGTACTTGCCAGCTAATTAACTGATATTTTTATGGCCTTCATTTGGCTTGAGAAGTAAACTGTCAAAGAATTCAGCACAGACCCACCATGTCTGATTTTAGACTTAAGGAGGCTTTTCAGGGATGAAGGTGTGATTCACCTCCTCCTTCCTACCCACACTGGATGGCTCACAGGGAGACCTGACTTAGTCCAGTGGGAGCCCCTCACCCCCACAAGCCCAAGGCAGCTGTATGATCAATTCTGTAGCCCAGAACAGTTTACATATTATACATGTTTGAAATATACCTGCAGCTTCCGAAACACTGATCCCATGACCTGCCCTTTGCCTTTGGAGGCATAAAAACACTTCCCCCTCCTCTTGGAACCACCTGTTCCCAGGCAGAAGTACTCAGGAGAAAATACTCACTTTCCATTGCCGCCCCAAGGTGAGGGGGCCTGTGAGGCTTTTGAAGAGTTCTGTAAGTACAAAATCAAAATGTAAATACAGGTGACGCAAGTACATGAATACTGATGACACAAAGCTCAACATTCCCCCTTTTCATTGCAAAAGCTACAGTGCATGGAGCAGAAAAGCTCTGCACATTGGTCCCATAATTAAGTGGCTGGAGGATGATTGCTAGGTTCCAACCAGTAGCTTGAAAATCATTTGATAAAAGAGAGAATAAATTCCAGTAAAAGCAGATGTAGGTTACAAAGCAGTGGTTTAATTAGCACTGAAACTTATTCTACAAAATAAGTTCTTCAGAGTGAAAATGACTGCTTATCTTTAATAAGGGACCTTCAATATTTTAATAAGAAACAAAAATAATTTGACTTGATGTTTTAATGAAATCCCTCCGAAGTTGCTTAGGGAAGGTGGCTTGGGATTTAGACAGTAGTATAAATAAAATTTTTAGTAAGGATCTGCTTGAATGCTTTTATTTTTATATATTTTAGTTGCACAAATTGACTTTCCTTACCTGCTTACTCATTCTGCCTTTCACGTCTGTGTAGCACCTTGTAAAACCCTGTACAAAAAGATTGCCGAGCAACAATAAAGCCCAGGTCTTTCCAGCCTCACTCAGACTGACTGGTATCTTAGTTCCCATACCAAGTGGCAGTGTCAGGGCTGAGGCTATCTGTGTGTGCCCTCTGAAAACAATCATTCAGCTCCCTTGCTGAGAAGTCAACACACACAGTGAAAATTCAATCAAGTTTTACAAGTTCTCTGCAAAGTATTACCCACATTATTACAACCCTCATCTGGTTACTGTAATCGCTGTTTTGCATGGGAGGCACAGAGATTCAGTGGAGCACAGACAGTACCCTTGATTCCAAAGCACAGCTCGCAGCCCAGCGTCTCTGAGCAAAGCAGAGAACTTTGTCCAAACCACAGCACTGGCCTGGCCATTCCTGCACAGCAGCCTCTGCTTGTCACAGAGGATGTGAGCATGACTCGGGGTGCTTCACAGCACAGAGCATGTGGAGCTTATGAGGAAACAGGGAGGTCCTAAACTGCCCTGGAAAGTCTTCAGAAATGGAGAAGAAGCTATTATTGTTAATTTCTCCTGTCCGGGGATTGCTCCCGACAGTACCTGGAGACAAATAATAGCTCTGTCAAGACTAAGACTAGATCTCAAGTGGAAGCAGTTATTTGATAATGAGACTATTTAGCAAAAATATTTCAATGACTACTGATAACACATTATAAAAAACATGAAAAATCTTCCTCAAACTTCCAGAGGAAATACATCACAGGATGTCACTTTCTGATCATAAAAGGTCTGATTTCAATTTAAAAAAAATTATCACTTTAGTGGTATTTTACTCCAAGTTGCCTCTAAATTTCAAAATTGCGTTCATGATTAAATGGCTATTTTCTGTTTTGAAATGTTAAAAGTATCATTTTGAAGCTTTTAATTGGAAATTAATCAGAACCAGTTCTGTCCACAAATGGTTTCAATTTGGACAAAGTGGCATTTGTGAGGAAAAATATAAAGAACAATTTAGCTGAAAAAATCCTCCCCAGCTCTGCTGTAAACAGTGGGCTGCTTTTCACAGTTAAAATTGTGTAAAAGTTTGAATAACAACTCTATTCAAACAGTTAATCTGTTTCATTTGTATTACAGATTCTTGCTAGTGAACACAGAGAACATGGTGCAGCAACACAAAACTAACACATAGTTAATAGCCCCCATTCTTTTCTTTTCTCCTCCTGTGCCTTTATTACAGAAAGAACCTGAACATATAATCTGTATACACTCAAACACTGCTTCTAGCAAGTGAGTTACAATGCCCATAGCACACACACTGTAACATTAACTGAAACACTTAGCTTCAACTGCATGCCTATGCCTAGCATTCCTGATTCCTCTATTTTATTGCATTTTTATTTTTTTCTCTTATTTTAATTTATATTAAAAGACATTTTCTTATGCTGGGAGTAGTAAATATTCCCTATATCTTACCTACTTGCACAGCTAGAGAAAATAAAGTGGCTTTAAGGCAAAAGAATCTCCCCTGCTCCTGTCTTTTTTTTTCTTTTTTTTTTTAAGAAATCATTACTTTCTGCAGAAAAGGTTTATTTGTCTAATAATCCTTCTTTTAAGATACAATCTACATTCATCCTGGATAAAATCTGAAGGGGATGGAACACATTTCATGAAAATGCTGAGGTTACAAATGTGTTAAACTCAAATTTAATTTGCTGTGCAAATCCCTGACTGAAAACTCCATGAGCACAACAGAGGCACTCCTAATGGTACAAGAGAGTCTTCATTTAAGCCCAAGATTAGGACTAACATTACTGAAGTTGCACAGAGACACACAGGGGGCACATGGGTAGTCAGGACTACGGCTGCTGCCATCTCAGGACTGGAGTTTTACAGCAGAAGGACCATTTTATCACCAATTACATGGAAACATGAACACTGCAGTGGTAGAGGTTTTTACTGGTTTGCACTACCAATATGTCAAAGCCTTGAACAAATTCAAAGAGGCTGAAAACACCAACAAAAAAAGACTGATGGGCTGACAAGCCAGTATAATTACATAATTATAGAATAATATGTAGTAATGAAGTAAAAGAATTAATGTATGCTTCAAACAGCATTAACCAGTGAAATATAAATACCAAAACCTCACAGGTGAAGAAAGATTCTATTTCTCTCTTAATTTAGGAACAGTGAGGATTTGTCATGCTTACTGGGTAGACAGCATTTGACAAGGTAAAACAAAACATCCCCAAGTCCCAACCACTGGATCTCCACTCAGTTTAAGGTAAAGGCAAACCTTCAAGATGTAGATAAGGTAATTTGAAGTTCCACAGGAATAAAAGCAGAAATCTCTGAAACTGCAATAAGCTTCAGGAAATCTCACTGAATCTAAAATCTAAACTTAACTAACTACAGCCCCAGTAATTGCTTTATTATGGTTCATTAGGGGTCAGTTCATAATCACTTGCACATTGAAACCTTGAAAGGATCAGAAACTTGCATAAACATTACATGGTGTTGAGAATAATGTTATTTTTGTAGAATTACTGAGTATGGTCCTTTGAATCAAGTGACTAATCCAAAAATCCCCCAAATCACTTCTGTCCCTATTCCCTGGCAGCCATCCTGCCTCCATTTCCCAGGAGAGAGGTTAAATGTGGGACTTTTAAGTCATGCAATCATGACTTTTAAGTCATACTTTTGAGAGCTCTCAGTGTTGGTATGAATTTCATTTCATATCAATAAATTAAACAGAATAAAGATTACCTTAAAATATTCCATCAGAGATCTGGAGTACTTCATAGCATGGTCCTTCTTTAGTTTAAACATTCTCAAGTAGAGAAGTGATAAGCATCGGTAGCTGTGGTAATTAGGAAAGGATTATGTTAATTCCATTGCTTAATGAAACCTATAAACTGTAAGGAAAAAAAAAAAAAGCTGACCTATATTTTGCAGTTTCTGTTCTAAGGTTACATTTTGAAACATAAGCAAATGGAGAAAAAAAAAAATTGGTCAAAAGCATTAAAATCCCATCTTGATAAGAGTATAAATTAGAAGAATAAATGTTTAGTCAGCTGCTGAAGAAATCCATTAGTTATCCTTTAATAGTTTAATGGAAAACAAGAATAATGATCTTCTGTAAGCTGCTTAAGTAATTCAGTACTTTTAAAGTCCTCCTTAAGATTTTAGCTGCTTCTCTCATTGTCGCAAAGGGACTTACCATAAAACTGCTAATTTCTTGTCCCCTTCTGTGGCAGAAGAGCCTGTGAAATTCTTGAGTCTCATTGCATACCTTGTCAAAAAGGTGAGAGATAAGAAATTGAGAGTTAAGATGTTTCCAAAAATAATCAGATATTCTTCTTCAACTGCAACAGTTATTGGTCACAGTGTTCTGTAATGAAGAGATGAGAATGTGAAACTCAACAGAAAGCATCTCTTAAGATCTGGAGGCCTTAAGTAAATCACCAACCAATTTTTTGGGCCAACCAGGTGAATTCTTCATTTGGTATATTAATTATATATATATATATATATAAAATATATATAGGGCATATTAATGATATTATATTCAGCCAGCTAGGCTGAGTCCTGCAAATATTTGGGATGAGTGTTGAACTGAAGCATAAGGTCTTGGCCCTATAGGTACTGAAGTGTAAAGTAATATATAATAAGGTTTTACATATAGTATTTTGGGCTTGAATAATACCTTCAAGATCCTTCTCATAAATACATTTTATACAGAAAATGGTTTTACATACAGGAAAGGTCACGTTCACAGCTTTTTTCATTCTTGGGTTCATTAATTTATGAATCTTGTGTACTTGGTCTTCCCTCTCTATTTAATTGCTGCTGTCCAGCATTTGGATGATCAAGGATTGAGTATTCCTATTTCCTCTGTCTTTTTTTTCCTTTAACTGAGCACACTCCATTCTATGCATTAGTCTCTTGAAAATCAATTCATCGCATAAAATCATTGTTCTGAGCCGTAATGCAATTTCACAGGTACTTGTGTTAGAATAAGTAATAGGGTTCAGCGTTGCATAAGAAAGTTTTAAGGTATCCAGGCAGTCTTGATGAGTTCCCATTTACAAGGAGGTAATGGAGTGCAGAGCTGTGCTGCTCTCCCCTGCCTTGCTCCCAGCACCCATCCCAGCCCAGGCTGCAGCTGCACCACCCCAGCTGCAGTGCTTCCTCCACATCCTGTCCCACCTGCTCTTGGGTATTGTGGTTCTAGTCAGACTGGATCAATGTGATCAAACACAAAGATCTATGTCTCTGGAATTTCAGCATTACCATAAAATTAAAACACATTTGATAGTCAGATTTCTGATAGTCCCAATCTCTTCGATGCTCCACTTGCTTTCACAAATAGGTGTCTGATGCAGACAGGCAGGGCAGACACAGCTAAATGCAAAAGGGGAAAATTGTGCTTCAGATGAAGGGAGGAGTAAAAGTGAGAAAAATCTCCCTCTGTTGTCTCACAGTAAAAACCTATGTTAATATTAGCAGCTACACTGAGAAAGCGTTGTGTGCACAGCCACATACTTTGTACGTCCAGCACCCTCTGTAGCCCACAAGAGTTGTATCTTTGTCCATGGAGTTCTACTGAGCCTGTATCAGCCTGCTGCTCACCTGGGCAATCACCTTTTGTCCATGTCTGACCACTGACAGCAGTTAAATGGACAAATCAGTCTCACTGGCTGCTACAAGTTGGTGAATTAAAGTCTACTTTTGGTGGTAGGTGGTGGAATTAATCTCACCTGACTTAAGCTATTTATATACTCAAGATCTACTATAACATATTCTCCAGATTCTTCCACAGCCAGAAGCAGTTCAGGTGCTGCTTCCATGCTAAGGTCTACCTGTCCCACAGCCTGCAGCAGGACTGTGCCAGGAGCAGCAAGGCAGCAGGGCTGTTGATGCTGAGTGCCAGCCACCCCAGGATAAGCCGTGCCCTCACCTGACTCCCTGCAGGTCCTGCCCTTTTGTGAGTCACTCCTGGAGCTGCCATTCCCTGATTTAAGTGGTTCACATGTTGTGGGTGAACAAAGCTTTTTGTTCCGTGCACTCTGAACAGACAGACTGCTGGACTGAAGAGCAATGATTACAACTGGGCTGTGTGGTTTTCTTAAGAAAACAAAAATAAATGCAGGTTCCTATGAAGAAGCACTCCCTTCTTTAAAGAGTATTTCTTTAAATACAATTTATTCTGCCATGCAGCTGCAGCTGTGTAGTTCAGGACACGCTGTCAGACTGCAGGATGATTTGGGCACAGCAGAGCAGAGGCAGGTGGCTCCTTTTCTAAGTCCTCTGCTCTCCAGGGTTTAACATGGATCAAGCGTTGAGTGAACCTAATTTTTTTCTTGAGTGATTCATTTAGATTTTGTTCTTCCCTTTATGAAGTGTGGAATGTAAAAACCATGTTTTAAAATATTTAACAGGCATATTATTTACCTGAGAGTAAGAGCTTTAGATTTGATACATTTTATTATGCAAATACCTACTTATTCAAAAAGTAAAACATGCATTATCTTGGCAGTCCCTAATAGCTAATCTGGCATGTTAAAAAAACCACCGTTGACATATTAGAAACCAAATATTTAGGGCTTGATTTGCCTCTTTTCCTTTCACTTCTGCAAACTGCCAGTAATTACACTGACATTAACAAGGATATTCCCAGCATACACTGGGGAAAGCAAAGGTGCATCACCGCGAAGAGGAAAAATCCTGTTGTTCTACTCACAGGTAAATTTAATCTTGCTTGATTTCACTTTGATAATTTGCTCAAGTAAAGCAAACTTAGTTACTCAGGAGACTATTATTTCTATGGACCCAACACTATAAAAGAGCTATAAGGAGCAGTAGCAGATTTTAGAATAATAATTCAGACATTTTATTAGTATGTAAAGACTCTCTTATCCATATTCTAGCTTATGAGCCTACAAAACTGTATTAAAATTAATTCAGCTGGTGTGCATTCCTGTAACATTAAAAATATACTGTTTTCAAGACAATATATGCAGAAGCTACCTCTCTGGCTATGATCTTATATCCCAAGTTTCAGCTTTTCTCTTTTTTAACAGCCAAGTTATAAACCTCTAAAACCAGGGTTTGTAATAGAAATCCTGATAGACTCCCTTTAATGTTTTGAATTATAAAACTACACCTTTTAAAAGACAAGTGTCATTGCCAAACAGTGAAATTACTATACTTTACTTCCACCCACTACATTTCAATTTTAATTTTATGAATATTGCAAATTATAACACTCACATTATAACCTCTAAAGGGGATAATTTATAAAAGCAGTGTCCATCAATTATAAATTTTCCATGACATTAATAAAATGGCAAGAACTAATTATGATGACTTCTGAGATGAAGATGCCTTGGACAAATCATTAATACGTTGAAATGGTATTTTTTAAAACATAGCAGGTTCTAATTATGACTGAAATGAGATGATGAAAATGATCACAGAAAGGACATTAACCTGATGAGTTCCACAGTCTCTGAGTACATGGTGTATGGAGATTTAGCTTCTAATGGATCTCGCTCCATAGCGTTCCCGCACTCGATGAAGGAGAGGGCAGCATCAGCATAATTCACTGCTTTACCGAACTTCTCCAGCTGAAATGGGAAGGACACTGTCAAGAAAATCCTTCAGCTTTGATTCCTAGGTAGGCAGATTATTCTACAAAGCAACACTAGCTGTAGGATGAAAGCAAAGTGACACTGGCAGTCAGGAATAAATTCACAGAGTAATTAAAGCAGGAACTATGTTTTTACCAAATCTTTTCAGGGTAGTATGTGGCTGAATGCTCCACAGAGGAAAGACAGTGTATGTCCACTGACATCAGGGATTTACACAGGCAAGAAAGGGCACTAAGCATGTTTGTACACATCCATACTGCTCCTTGACAGATGAAGTTTGAATGTCACTATGCAAGGGTTAAGTAACAACTCCATGCAATTTGGCTGATGTCATATTCTGTGTTAACTGTTGGTCAAAAAAAACCCACATCACTTATATGATGAGCAAAAGAGCAAGAAAAAAAAAGGGAGACAATATAGCAATGCTTAATATTTCATTTTACTAGGATTTTATTGCAAAAGGTTTTAGCCCTCATAATGGTTGTGATTAAACTGACTTAGACATACTGATTTCTTTTTTTATGTGTAATGAATATTATATATGACATTTTTATAGTATGCACTTTATAATAGTATTTAACATTTTCAGTTTTTGATAGCTGAATGTAAGAATTCTACTAATGTGGCATTTGATATAGCGGATCCAATATACTTTAAATAATTTAAAAATGTCTTTCTATGTCTCTATCAAAATATTTTTGATGCATCTGCATATGTTTCCATTCACAAAACAGAAGCCTGTTCTAACAACATACTAAGCATAACATTTATTATTGGTCCAAAACAACAGTATACTTCTCTTTGTGGCTCCTTCTAAGCCATAACTAGTTCTCTCTGCCCACCTTTAATTCAAGTACTGCTCTTGTGCACTGATTATGTACAGAGCCTTTGTATAATTGATAGGTATTAACTGAATGATCAGAAAAAGGGAAATGTTTCTGACTGCTCTCTCTCTACTCCAGTGGCTGCTTCTCAGCATATTCTTCAAATTCCTTTTTTCACTTTGAAAGAATTTCCATTCCTTTCTGGAAGACAAAAAGTCTTCCAAAGATGACTTTTTGTGGTATGGAAAGAATAATCTGGCTGCAAGCAGATTTAGTAGAGACACAGAATTAGAGCCAGGAATGGGATCTGATTCTCTGAAGAAGGTGGAATTATTCCAACTTGTCACATCTCAGACAGGCACACAGTGAGGTCTCCAAGATCTCTTCCATATGGTACAGCCAGTTGCCACTGCAGCAGCCCCCCCAAATTAGCTGATCCCTTCCTGCAGCCGCAGACAAGGAGAGGTTTCCATGGGGTCGCTCCCGTAAGACATGAAACGTCCTGCCCTTCACCAGAAATCTATTTTCTCTACAAGCTCAGGAACGCTGCTGCCACAAATCTCATTAACATTTGCTGACACATTTTGAGGTCACATGCATTATCTTTCTAGCCACTGCAACACATCTTTCAATGCTGCCTGTGCTCTGTCATGTCAGCACCAAGTAACCAGCAGCAATTGTTTCCATAGGACAAGTAACACTATGGGATTGCACACCAAATGTGTTACATGGAGATTATTTGCGTGCAGCTGCATTGGGTGGGGAAAAAAGAAAAAAAAAAAAAGAAGACTTGAGATCTAAATAGCAGAAGGAAAATAAGATACTTTGTTCATGGATATTTATGCCTGCCAACAAGCTGATCACAGTGGATGGCCTCACATCGGGGCGCTCGGGGCGTCAAACTGTGCGTGGCAGGCAGGACCTGCCTGCAGGCAGCAGCGGGATGGGCTGTGCCTGCTCCTCTTAGTGCTGCTTGGGAAACACCCTGGTCCTGCAGGCACAGGCACAGGTAGGAGCACAGAGAAGGGCCAACACCCTGTGAGCGTGTCCGGCTGCAGAGGGAGGGGAACGGACGGAGCGTGCTGAGATCATCGGGGCCTGAGCCTGTAAATATCTGCTAGCATGGAGCAGGTAGCCCTGTGCCAGCACCATGTGTGTTTTGTTTAAAGGTCACCCAGCTGTGGGAGGTGTTGTGAGCCTGCAGACGCCAGGCTGTGGCTGGATGTGCCCTGCTGAGCTGGCTGGAAGCCATCAGGCCACCTCCTGCAAATGGGCACGCTGGGAGGGATGACTGTCACCTTGCTGACAGCCATAGCAAGTGCCAAAACCCTGAACCCACCTCACACAGAGAGCACTTGGAAACACTGTGCCCCAAGCCAAAAGGGAGCCTGGAGAGCTGAAGCAGACAGCTTGAAATGTCACCCTTCCTTCAGCTCACTGACAGCAGAGGGAGAGACTTTGTTTGGCCAGTTTCCTTTTTAAAATCATAGCATGCAATTGTTTTTTTTTTTTTTTTTTTTTTTTTAATTATTATTTCTAAGTGCAAAATCTCTAATGGGTAATGATAGAATATACATGCAAAACCCCCAGAAATGATAAAGTTGAGAGGTGAATAATCACCCAGCTCTTTGAGGGGCAAAGTGGATGGCCACACTCCATTTTAGACATCTTAGTTAAATTAAGTAGAGGAGTCAAGTTCCATTAAGTCCTCCTGAATGAGCCACTGTTCTGCACCCTATGTAGCACACAGGAGGCAAAGTCCCTTCCTACAAAGCAAACGTTTACTAAGGACACTTCAGAACTGGCAATAGCTCGTATAGAACAAACCAGGGTTGAATACAATCTGTCAGATTATGTAGTTTTATCAAAATCCAAACACTTGGCAAAATTAGGCCAATCTTACTGGAATTTCCTCTGGGGTAAAACAAGCAAAAAAGCTTTCCCAATATTGAACTACCTCACTAGCAGATTTTTTGGGAATAAGTGTGTTGAGATTTTCTTTATCAGGCTAAAACCATGCAATAAAAATGAATTTAGTACATAAAAATGAATTGTTTCAGATTTTAAACAATCAGACTGGAAATATCAAACAGTTTTACCACATGATAATGGGGTGTGAGGTGATTTGCCTGTCTTTCTGCTATGGAATATTTCATCACTTCTGTTTTAGGCTCAAAATGAATAGAAAAACAAATTTCAAGTACACATCAACTTTCATAAAACCATCTTACATACTTCATAAACAGCAAGATTGTTGCTCCCTCTTGGAAGAAACACCAGCTATTTGTAAGTAGCTTTCTTTTGGGAACAAATACTTAAAAGTTAGGAATGGAATTCAGGGTTTAACTTGTGCACAATGTGTTTATGGAGCACAAACTGAAGCACAGTTTAGTCAGTAGCAGAGTGCCTCTTGGTCTGAGAGGCTTTAGATCTTATGCAATAATGTTCATTTTTTAACACTGTGTTCCACAGTGGAAAGAGACAGAAAACCCCTGTGATAACCTACCAGTGCATCGGCTTTATGCTTCAGCTTCTTAGCTTCTTGCATGTAATAATCTGCATTGTGCAGCCTAGAGAGACAAAATCAATTAATTTAAGTTTTTGCTTTCATATAGTTGGACAAACGTTGTTTGAAAAAAATTGCCGACTGTTTTAAAGAAGAATTTTGACATATATGCCCACTTATCTCTTTAAATCTTAACCTGATATCAATCTGAAGCTGCTGTATGCAGAGATATGATGGGTGACCAGAATGTAAAATAAGTAGCTGTAGAAACTGGCTGCCCAAAGGACCTATTAATGTGTGCTGAACAGAGGAAAAGGAAAAATATTTTAAACTAATTAAGTATAAGAAGTTTCCATTAGAGGAGCTAAAATAAAAAAATGAAGAAGAATTACCGTGAACCAACATTCATGATCTGAAAACATTTATCAACAGAATCTTCATTAATCAGTGACACCAGTTCATTTGCCAAGATTAAAACTCTGTGTGCCTTTGTGCAGCACTATCCACACAGGTGCCCAATGCCAGCACTGTAATCAAAGACATTCCCTTTCACTGGGACCTCTGCTTGCACAAAAATCCCAATCACAGAGCACAAAGTCAATAAAACTTACACATCATCAAATGTTATTTTGGGTCTTCTGGGCTCAGAATTCCCATTGGAAAGCGTTGGCATTGCAGACCAGATGTCTGGCTCTAGATGGCTGGTGTCAAGAAGAGTGTTGGCTGTGGGTGTACTGTGAGATTCTTCCTCCTAGGAAACACAGGACTGTTATCCATAGCTCAAAAAAAACCACCTTCCAACAATGTAAGTGCTCACATCCACCCTCCCTGCCAAAACCCCTTCCCAACAAACCAAAGGCTAAGGCATCAAGCAGCCCACCTTCACGTCACCTCACAAAACCACCCTTCCCTTCTTTGTAACATGAGCCTAATAGATTAATTAGGGAGTACTAATTAGTCCACTTCTGGGCTCTCACCTGAACTCAGTAATTTACACTTTGAAGTGTAAGGTTTAGGTGGGTACCATGGTGTTACTGACTAGAGACCCTGGTTAAAGCAAGGGTGGGGAGATCTAATGGGCCAGGCTAGATCTAAACTCAACTTCTTCAAGGTGATTCACACTAATGGAACCTTTTTTCTATATTACTAGGAGCTAACTGTTAATGTGGCTGAAGAATCTGCTTGGATTTCAGCAGGGAACACTTTTCCCTCTTGCTACAGAAGGAAGAATGGAAAGCAGAAGTCAGTTGTGACTTTGCAATGATTAAAACCAGAAGCATAACAGAAGATTTTAAATCAGACAATTGCAACTTGCAAGCTTGGTCCCCAACCAGATAAACTAAATTACAGATGAACCAATGAACTAGGGAAAGAAGTCTAACATATTTTAGGGGAAAAATATTTCTTGTATCAAGATAATAGATTAACAAAGGATAAATCTGACTAGAGATGCTGGGATGAGAGGAAGAGGCCCTGCTGTTTACACAGCACTGTTTATTTGCTGACATATGCAGTTCATTTTGGCACTGATTTCAGTTGAAGGCGTGTGTATTACTGGCGCAGCTTGAAGTGACACAATGATATCAGAAAGCAACAGGGATGAATGAATAAGGTGAAGTGATTTGTCACCTACAATTCCATGCAACTTGTGAGTTTTACTATTACAGTGCAGGGTAACAACCTCTCTCAAAGTGGTGAACTGTGAAAAATGGGGCTATGCATGGCCTTTTCTGTGGTAGAATTTTCTTCTTGTCTTTTAATTTTGACAGTGATACTAAGATACAGTTTGATAGCATAAAGTAAGGATGGGTTTGAAACCCGAGAGGAAGGACTATTTTCTAAAATGGGCCAAAATCCAGGAGTTTCTCTTTTTAACCTAAAAAGAGGATGACAAACTAATGTGAAATTTTACATTGTTTTAGTGAATTTGATATGCAGTTTTGGCTCTTTTTCATGTATTTTCAGAAAAAAAACCCTACCCGAATCTGGTGAAAAGCAAGCAACAAAGAACTGTCTCTGTGAGAAACACTGATGGGGAGATGGCCCTAACAGTGTGATATTCTTCTGGGGGGAAAAAACCCTATTTACAAATTGTCTAAAAGCATACAAATAATTAATGAAGATTAAGCATAAATAAACCTTACTGTTGTGAGCCTGAAAACCTGAGAGAGGTTATTGAAATGCTGAGTGTCCTATGGACAGGATTTTTTTGTTATATTGTTATTGTCTGTTTAGTTAGGCCATAATATTCAGTACGACTACAGTGCTTAATTCTGGCTGAGAATTTGGGGCAGTTATTCTGGTGATATTCTGGAAGTTCTATTTTCAAAATGTAAGTGTTGCAGTTACAGAGTTAAGGGACTAATTGCAGCTAGTTGATGGCTGCAAAGGCTCTTCTCTGAGGCTCAGGGTCCAGGTGCTTCAGGGAATGACAGACAACACCAAGCAAATGCCTAATGCTGACCTAAAAATGGAGCTTGCAAGAGCTGTTTATGCCTGGCTCTGCAAAGATCCACTCCCCCTAAGTGGGGCTACATCAGCATTTAGAAATACATACTGTGTGAGGAAAAAAATCCAACTGAATAAAGCTGAACTGATTTCATTTTATCTTGTTCACCGCCACCAGCTGAGGCTGGTTACTTACACAGATTCCTTTGGGGTTAGAAGAAGATTTATTTTCATTCTTTCTGTGTTTAGAAACAGAGGAGGAAGAGCTGCTGGTCTGTGAGGTGTTAGTGACAGTGGGCTCCTGGCTGAAGGAGCTGTTGTCACTGCTGTGCCGCCGGTGCACAGGGTCGTCCAAGAGTGGGGACAAGGGAGGAGGGAACAGCTTCTCTTCTCTTTTCTTTGTCACCTTCTTCACCGAGCTAGTGCTGCTCCTGGGACACAGAAAAACCAGTTGCACTTCAAGAATATTGGTAAATTCTCCACAGCACAAAGCTGTACATTTTATTTGCTGAGAAGCCAGCTCTGCCCTCCAATCTGTCCTGCAGTCCCGTGCCCTGCGTGGCGAGGCACAAGGGGACAGCAGTGAAAACAGAAGAGCTGCCTCTGCCTTTTCAATGACTGCAGAAACCTTCTGCTTTGGAGGACAACTTGCAGTGCATTAGTACAAATTGCACCCAATTTAAATGCTAATTTGAGTCAGTCTTCATTTGAGAGGTCATAGAGGTTCTGACTCAGCAAAGTGCTGGAAAGTTTTATGCACAGGGTTAGTTCCTTTGACATCAAGTATGACTATTTATGTGTTTAACATTAAGCATCTTTTTAAGAGGTGGATTAGGGCTCACATAAGCAACCTTAGCAAAAAATCCAAACAGCACATGGCAGCATATGAACCAAAAATAGAACTTATAACAACTACAAACTGATAACCATAACAATAACAAGATAATAATTATTTAACCTCTAGAATAAAGCCAACATTCAACACTATATTAAAATGATACATTGTAGCTGGCAAAAGCCCTTGAGCAAATATTGGTTGATGAATTGAACGTGATTCAGAAAATGAATGTGGTTTTGACATGAAAGCTCAAGTAACATGATAATGTATTGTCTGTTTTATGTACAGAAATTGTTAGCTGGCTAGCAATTGCAGCTGTGATGCACAGTAAAACCAGAAAAAAAAAAAAAATCAACCTGGTAGACCTTTCTCCACTCAAATTCATCAAAAAAGAAAAAACCAAACCCAAGACTTCACTGACTGCTTAACATGTTAATCTATTCATAGATTTTTGTTTTAGGTATTGTCCCTGCTCAGTCAATGAAGATAACCTGATTTTTAATCTTTTGTTAGACATCTAATATTGCACTACATGATCATTTACTTTTCATGATTATTGACTAAAATTTCAATAACAAATTAAGTCAACAAGAATTTATGTTTTGTTCCCACTTTCAGTCAGTGTCAGGAATTATTGATCTCCTTTGCCTCAAAGTAACCAGGGAAAGAGGAGAAGGCGACCCAGGTTTCCTTACTTCTCATTTAGGTGCTCTCTCTCATTTCAGTCTGGCCTCTTCTGCAGTTTCACTGACAGTATCAATATCTACACCTCGGTCACTGCCCTACTTGGGACCTTTGGTGATACAGAAATATTTTAGCCTTGTCTGTGAAACCACAGAGTGAAATCAAACAAACTCCTCATGTTTTATAGCTCCTCTACCCAAAACTACTTTAATTCAACTGAAGCAGAGTTAAAAATATCTTATTTGAAACCCTCTGATATTAAAGATCTTCAGACTGAAGAAATAAAACAAGCTCAAATTCATATTGCCTTATGGATGGATGCTGTCCTTCTTGGAAAACACATGGGTCTGAAGAAGATCAAAGGGAAACAACCATGTTGGACTAGACCGGCAGTTCTTGGAGGAGACTGATTTTATGCACATGTGGTCCTGCAATATGTCCTCCAGAAAGTTCTCACTCAAAGCTCCATCTGTTTGCTTTCTGACCCCCAAAGGGCATTTTGGAACTCAGACAAGTTACCATAGTTATAGCTCACAACACTCTTTCACTTTTTCCAGAGGAAAATTTTCCAAAGTGCACTGCCCCGACAAAGCACACACGTGTTCTTGGACTGGACAGCAGCAAAGAGGACACAGTTAACCCACAGAAGCACCCAGGGGCAGAACCCAAACCCTCTGCCTTTCAAGCACATGCCCTACCAGGGAACCCTGAAAAAGCACTCACAGGGAAAACACAGAGCAAAGTGATTTTCTGTGCCACTGTGCATGTAGGAGTTTACAGCACTTCACTATTTAAAACTTTACCAGTTCACTTCATATTTGGGCTCAGCTATAAGATGGGGCAGACCACGGAACAGGTGCAGCTACTCAACTCTGGCACATAAATCACTCTGTGGCTTGGAAAAATTAACCACAAAACAAAAGGCTCTAGAGGCTATTTTTTCCTACATAATTTACGTTTAACTCCGCCCCCCCTTAAATACAGTTTTAATTGTCTGTTGGGTTTTTTTCTTTTCTTCCCCTTGCCCACTTAATTCTATAAGTTTTTGCAGGAATTAAGCTGATAATTTATTTAGCAATGTTACCTCCCTCAGATTTACACTAAAGCATTTATGCTAACAATAACCTCCATGAAATAGGTTGTTACCAGCAGTTAACCAGATTGTCACTTTGCTTTGGGCTGTTAATGGCCTAAGAAACTGGTCTTTGATTGCAGGAATCGCTAATTTTGAATGAATTTATTGCAATAATTACTGAGACTCAATGGTTTAATTTGCTGACATGATTGTTAGTTAAAATTATTTAAAGTCTAGGGAGAAACACAAAGTGCACTGAAAAACTGCAAGCAGAACTGATGGTCTTTTGGCTGCAGGGTTTTAATCTTTTGTATCTAAAAAGGCCAATTATCAAAGGAGAAGGTTCTGCTTTTTTTTTTTTTTTTTTTCTCTTTCTTTTTTTTCTTTCTTTTTTCCCAGCCTAGTTTCTTTTAGGGCAGCAAGCAAGCAAGCAAACAGGCAACAAGAGGTCATTGCATGAAGAAGGGAGACTTTCCAGCTACTCTCATGTTTTAAGCTGCTTTTCTTTGCCCTTTCTTTATCCACCCCTTGTGCTATGCAGTGGTATCTCTGGCCTGTAGTGAGACAAAGCCACTGTCTATACCAGGAACTTGGCTTTCCTTTGCCTCTCCTGCCCTGGCCCACAATGAAATGCTGCAATTGATGGTGTATCTGACTTTCTGCAGGGGTTTCCAGGGAAAGGTCACTCCCACATTAGCCTGGACCATATGGCAGCACCTGAATGGAGCTGAAGCCATTGTCACAGATGTGAAGGCTGCCTGTGCCATGAAGGAACCCCAATGAATGCTGCTGTGGCTACACAAGGGATGAACTAATACGTATTGCCAAGGAGAGGTGCATCTTCAAGTAAAGGTCAAACAAAAGAGAAAGGGAAATTTTGAAAAGCAAAAATGCAGAAATGCTTGCCTCAGACAGATTTCTATCATGCCTGATAAATGGTGGGCATGTTTCACTGGTACGAGTCCAGTTTGACTCACAATTTGCATCAGCAAATAATTCCCTGTGTTGTTACAAAAAGCCAGATACTGGTGAGTATTTGGTGAGTCCAGTCTCTGTCTGGACTGGGTCTACCAATCAAATATTCATATATCAATGGGATTCAGCAGCACATACAATTAATGCTTAAATTAAAATTTCTCTGTCAAAGAACTAAATATAAATAAGTAATCCTCTGCTGCAAAGCAGACAGCTGATCTGACAAAAATTCAGCTTTACAGAAGCGCTTCAATGTGTTCCTATAAACACACTGAAACACCTATTCCTTCATTTGCTGTAAATATCAGAAATAAGGAAAATATAGTGGCAATTGTTTGAACAGTATATTTTAAGTGTCAGGTCAGATTTTGGAAAAGGCATCAGCCCCTGAATATGTGAGGGAAGAAACACAGAGGTAATTATGGCTTATGCAATGACTACATAATACAAACCTGCTCTCTCGTTGTGCAAATGCCTTTTAAGTTCACAAGTGGCCATTTGAAATTTCTAAACTCAAATCGTACATGTAGTCACAGAAACTTGAGGAAATTAGGCATATAATTGCCCTTATTAGACACGTGACCCTTTAAAGATTAATTGTGCATCTTTGCTTGCTTTATTGAGCCCATATATTTAGGGGAAGATTACAGAGAAATGTATCCAAGTGCCTAAACCACAGCAAGGCGGGCAATGGGAGCTGTGGAAGCCCAGGTGTGACCTATCTTTCACTGATTGCTCCAGACTCCTGAATGCCTCCAATTTTGGCCCAGATTGTGGTCTTTCTGTCAAAACACTCTTGTACCTTCAAAAAAGCCTAATAAAAATCTCACGTCTGCCCTGGGGAACCTGGCTTATTGGCACAGGGATCAAATTCTAATAGGAGAGACCTAAGTTTCCTACTGAGTGACAACATCCACCATGGGATTTAACACCTCCTTAAGGGATGAAGATCATCATCACACCTGTAGCTGACTCACCCTCATTTCTTAAAGTCCTTATATAGAGAGTTCTAAAAGAAAACTTAGAACTTTTGGGAATAAAAGACCAAATGGCAAAGCCTGTCTTGCAACCTTTTACCCCTGAAGTGTTATTTTCCCCCATGGCCTTGAATGCTGGACTTTCTTCTGCCTCCCCTTAAAAATTTACTCAATCTTCTGGAGAACAGAATCACTCCTGACTGCTTAAAAATGAATGTTTAAATTTCTAGAAAATTGTCTTCACACAGTTCATCCAGCTACCTGATCTTTTGGGAAATACATTGATCTATATTCAGTTGCATGTCTCTGGGAGTCGAAAACCTGAACTGAAAACCTGAATCAAAAAAAGTATTGCATTTTCTTCAAGCAAACTCAGAAAACACTAGTAACAACAAATGCAGTGTAATCCAGGTCTCACTGAGCTGGAAAAATAGTTAGAAAATTTTGTTTCAAAATTTCAGGCAGATGAGAGAAAAAGCTAGTATATGGAAATAACTATTGATGGACACAATTATGTTTTAACAGAGAATACCCAAGGGTTGAAAGCTCTGAGGAATTAAATTAACGACCTGGAAAACAAGCTCAAATTAAGAAACATCAGGTTGGGGGTGGATCCTTAGGCCTGGTGGTGACAAGAATAGAAAGATTTTTTTTAATGGATTGTGGAGGTGCTGGGGATGGATAATCCTTGATTCCCTCTGCAATATATCTCTGCTCATTTATATCTAGCAACGACAATCATGCAACACTCATCATGATGTTTATCAAATGTGCAATGTGTTACAGATCCCATTGTAACTTTCAACTCATCTTCTTTTTCCAGGCTCCAACTCTGATTTTCTCAGTGGCTGAATGAGGGGCTAATTCACAGACTGAAATTACTTCATATTGACACCAGAATAAATAGAATGATGCTCAACTTTCTTTAAGGATTTTAAAATTAGTGTGCCATTTCATAACTTGTTTCTGAACTTTATCTAAATGTACCTATATTATCCTCAAATTGTTTTTAGAAGCATGCTATGGTTTTGATTCTTTGCTTATCCAATCGCAAAGCAGAAAGAAGCACCTCATCTCAAAATCATAAAAACACTAAATAACAAAAGAGAATTGGACTCTTTGGCTATTTACATAATGTTAACCTTGTGACTCTATAATCAGAATCATTATTTATGTGGCATCTGTTTGTTCAAGCATTATAGCCACCTCTGAAAGACACTCTGAAAGGCACAAACTATTGGATGGTGTGTCTGCTGAGATACCAAGTACATCTGAGACACCTGGGATGGTGGCCCCTGGCATTGCTGTATGCACAGGTAAAACAAAGAGCCAATTTCACTATTTTGTTCAGTAAAACTGGGAACTGTTTCTCATGAAAATGATTTTAAAAAATTAATTCCAGGCAATCAAATAAATCCCACTTTTAGCAGGGTTCTCTGTCCACAGAGGTTAAAGATAAGAGGCAAGAAAGAACATTGAAAGGAGGTTGAAGAGTACACCAGGATTGTGGCAGCATTCTGAAGTCCTGCAGGCCATCAGAAGGAGGAATGAATCTCATCCAAAACCACGTCTCTTCCTCATGGATGGGAATGCCAAGGCTGCGCCACTTATGCTGATGGCCTGTAAAGCCCATCTGACTCTACAGCAAAGATATTTACAGAACAGTACCGTGAAATCCCTCAGGAATGTGATGTCAAAAATCCACTTACTCTTTCGTGCTGGTTATTCTGTGGTTCGGTATTGGAGAGATACAAGGTGGGAGCAGACAGGAAGCAGGAGGGTCCTCCAGGCGCGGCTTCTTGCTTTCCACAAAGGTATCCAGGCTTTCTGTCTGCTTTAACAAAAAATGGCACAGCATAAAAGATCCAGCATTTATGCACAGCTTCACTGGCTATCCAGAGTACCTATGGAATCTCAGTGTACTTCCTTTACAGCAGCAGCAGTTAAACTACTGGTCTAAGAGAAGTGAAAGTCACCCGAAATCAGGGCTGAACGTTTTCCAAACACAGGACATGAAGTTATATAACAAGTGACATAGCAGATAATTAGGAAGCAAAATGTCTCGTGTGCTAAAGTTATCTTCTGTAGTACACTGGAATTTAATTAATAATTTAGATGCAATGATTTGATAGCACCAAACCTTATTCAAGTAAATAGCTTTTACTCACTGACCTAACAGAAGTTGATGGGAAAACTTCTCTGAATAAGTATTCCTCACAGGACTAGGAGCAGAGGACTGAGCTGGGGTAGTCATTAACAGCAATAGCTCATTTGAAATTAGCTTTGGAAGACACCCCGATGCATGACTTTTGTGCCTGAACTAGGATGATACAAGCAAAGCTGATCATTGCTCTGTCACTGGAACCTTCATATCAGTCTTCAAGTCCACTAGTAGGTGACTAAAATAAATCTTTTAATAGCATGATTTAAAAACACAAATTGGTCTCTCCCTACCCTACTTTAACTCTTGGTATCTTTAACTCAAGTCATCCTAATTGGCTTGTTTCCCCTTGGGTAGCAGTGAACAATCACATTACAACATTACAGGCGCTGATTCAGAGTCCAGCTTATGCTAGCACAGGCCCAGAGCAAGATTCTCCATTTCGTTATTTTCTGATTCAATGTTTCAGTCAAGGAAATGATGAGGTTCCACCTTCCATATAACCCCCCTTATTTTTTTTCTTTCCTGGGAGCCCTCACTTCAGTTGCCAAGACCACACTTGTGTTTTAGTTAAGATTCCTTCTCCATGATACAGACACTCCACTAAACTACCCAGCAACAATTATTTTTGGTACAATAAATATGCACCCTGGTGTACTTAGACATACATAAGTATGGACATTTATACATCCCTCTCCTCTTTTTTTCTCCTTCCTTCTTGCATCTCTGTAGTGTGCAGCTAGAATATAAATTGAATAAAAACCTGCTGAATTTACTCATGTGATTACTCTCACTTAATTCAGCAGGGAAGGAGCCAGTGCAGTGACTCATTTAGGCAGGGGTGTAGACCTTGTGTCTGCCTGGCATCATCTGTCTTTGTCTTGCATTAATTCTCTTGTACCACTGGACTCCTCAAAATTAGGGTTTCAAGAAGTCCACCAAAACAGACAGCTGAAGTCATATTCACAATGATTTATAAAATTTGGGGTATAAAAAAATATACTCTGATGACTTTTCACAGGCAGACTAGAGTACAAGCATTTCAGCTGGAAAAACTGACTACAAAAATTCATTTAGGATATAAAACCTCAGTTTCTTTTCTGAAAACACATTTAGTTTGAAGTGCAATGTCATATCCCACAAGGTAGGATACCCTTGGGCATAAATAACATAAAACACATGATAAAACATAATGCCTTCAGTCAAAATATATTTGTTTTTTCAGTTAGCTGTGCAGAGAAAGCAGCTAGTTAAGTAAATTATATTTCTATGGATTGTATTTGTTCATACCACAAAACAATATAAAAACGAAATTCATCAGGAACATAAGCAAGCACCATTCCACTGATTTTGATGAAGCCTGTTTAAACCAGTAGTTAAAACACCTTAATTCTGCAGACAATAAACCCCTCCCTTCCAAACAGAAGTCACATTTTCTGAGTATGCCTGGAACTGTTCTAATACAAACTCATCACTTCCTGCAGATTACAGAACACTGGAAACTAATAGGTGAGTGAGCAAATACAGTGAAAAACTTGTTAGAAAAATCTCAAAAAATACACTGTTTATTGATTTTTTTCAGCTGGAGTTTGCTTTTTACTAGTTTCTGATGTTAATTTGTAGTGCACTTGTAAATGTCAGTCCTTTGTAAAACCAATAAAGCCTGAGTGCTGTGATGCCTCCCCACAGCCTGGCTGCAGGTGCAGTGAGGAATCACTGCCTCTGGTCCTGACCTCCAGGGTGCTCAGAAACACAAGTATCGTCCTTTAAACAATGAAAATTACTTACCTTGTGTTTCCTTTTGGATTTTGTGGAGGGTTTTTCAGCTGCTGGGGTAGGGGACTCTCGAGATGGTCGCCTGTGTTTCACATTTGCCTCTCTTGGGTCACTTTTCACAGATGTGGTCTCAAAAGTTTCCTGTCCAGGTATCCTAGAGAGTAAACTAAGGTCTATTTTCACCCACAGAGATTTGAGTTCTTCATATTCTCTCAGTGGGGACAGAAGTTCGTTTTGTACTATTGGGATAGGAGAAAAGAGCTGCTCCTCCAGGTCATTGCTGGTCTGGTCAATGGATGTGTTGCTGCCATTGCTGGTTAAGCTACTTACGCTGAGGATGTTACTGCCAGAGTCCTTCACTTTGACACCACTGCCAGACCCAGTGCAGGCTGGCAGCACCTTGGCCTGCAAGCTCTCCTCCTGGTCTGTGTTTGAATCAGAAGTAGATGAATCCGTTTCAATGAACTCCCGGGACTTTGGGACAATTTTGCTGGGGCCTCTGTACTTTTTCTTCTCTGAAGTGAGACCTGTGCTAGTTCGTGGTTCTTTCCTTGGAGCTGTCTTCCCAACTGCTGCTTTAGTTCGAACCTTTGGCTGCTCGGGGGGTTCCTGTGTGTCTTTTTCTTTGGGAGTGTTGCTGGTATTATTTGGTTTGGGCCAGTTATACTCTTCTACACTGGAAGTCCTTTCTACCTTTTTGGGTTGCTTTTTCCCAGTAGTCCTTTGTGAAGTTGGCTCATTATGAGCTGGTGACTTCTGCTTGGAGCTTTTTGCCTCTGGGGTTTTCTGGGCAACCCGTGGTTTGGCTTTCTCTCGGATGGGACTAAGGATCGCCCGGTCTTTGGAATCGGTCGGGGGCAGGCTGCTGTTGAGCTTCCCTTTGTTTGGCCCTTCGGCCTGCTGGTTGCTCTGGGCCTGGGAGCTGCTCTCACTGTGAGGCTCATTTTGATTGTTGATGATGGTCTTGTTGTGGGGGTTCACCTTATTTAGCCATTTATCCAGCTGCCATTTGTTTGTTGAGGGGGGTTCGGGCTGCAGATTGAAGGATGACAAGGAACAAATCTCAGACAGAAGCAGTGCTTTTCCCTTTAAAAGAGAACTTTTTTAATGTACCTTTTTATTTCAGCCAACTAGTGGTGACTCTAGTTTTATGGGAGTATTTATGGAGTATTTATGGTTAATTAGGCTTCCTTATCTGGTTTACAACGTAGCCCTGGAGAAATTTAATACAACTAAAAAGTTTAGCTAGTCCCTGAAGAGATAGTTTTGTCATGTTGCCTTTCCTTAGTTCCAGCTGAACACTGTGTCAATAAAATCTTCTCTAGCTACTGGCAAAAATCTAAATATTTCTTTAAAGCAACTCAAATGTAGGCCAGAAGGATTCTTCCAAAAGCTAGAATGAGTATGTGGGTCACACATGTGAAATGCAAAGGGAAAAGAAGTCAACAGCATCAAACAGCACAGGACTCCAGCATTCCCCTAACAGGGGGCTTTGCTTTGCTCCCCTCCACGTGGGGGAGAGCTGAGGGTGGCCTCACCTCTGGCGTGGCACTGCGTGACTCCCCGTTGCACTCGCTGTCGCTGGAGCTGCTCTCGCTGTCGGAGTCGGACTCGGAGCTGCTCTCGGACTCGCTGGAGCTGCCGGAGCCGCCGCTGGAATGGGCCAAGCCAGCGGCGTGTGCCACTGGCACTGGCAGGCTGCTGGGGGACAAGATCCTCTCTTAGTGTGCTCCTGGCCTTTTGCCAGTGCTGCCCAGTGCGCCCCATTCACACCGAATGAACTCAGTGTCACTCCCTCTCCTGCGGTGCAGAGCCAGAGAGCTCCAGGGGCTGTGCCACCGTGGAGCCACCAGAGGAGCTGGTTGGCTTCCTCACTCATGGGACACATTGATTATGTTAATAACATTACCATCATCATCACCCTCCAGTAAGAAACGCTTCAGTGTCACAAGCCTGAGCTTATTAGGCCGATGATTGCAAAAACTAACAATCACACTTAAATAATTCATTAATGGAATCATGGTTTCTTCATTTTTTGCCAGTTCATTTATAATTTATGACCAAAGGAAGGACATCAGGCAACTAATATTGGACAGGACATTTTAAAAATTAATTTTAATGAATACTTTTACACTGCAGTGTACAAAAACTACATACTTCTGACAAGTCTCCAGGGAGTGCCTGAGAATTTTTTATTTATAGCTTTTTTCCCCGCTCATATTTATGATAATGCAGTGAGAAAATAGCATTCATGCTGAAAATAAGCTTCTCCGTGAAATCTATTTTTCTGTGTGTTCAACTGTCCTCCAAGATGTATTTATTAGCAGTGCACTGTGTGTCATTGTTTCTCCTCATCATTTGTTTCTAATCTGAGAGGTCAGACGACCCCAGCTTTTAGCACTACAGAATTCTGCCAATCTGAGTCTTTATAAACTCATCTTTAATTTCAACTTTTTCGTCAGGGAGATAACCATAAGGTTATATGTCTCTTCAGCTGATCTATACAGGGACTTTTTGATGATTGATTTTAAATTTGTGAAGCTGACAAAGCAAAGTGTTTGAAAATTGACACCATTTGCTAGTACGCCTTTATGGATATTCAATACTTCACCTTAATATATCATACACAGTGTGTGTCCCACATTGAGTGATCCAGAGGTGCCTACAAGGTATAATACAGCTTTGCCTCTATTTCTATTTGCTTTTCTATTTTCCTCCAAGAAGGATTCAACTAAGCCAGGAATATGCTTTCCTTCCCTTTTCAAACCATGGATGCTCTGTGCATCAAGATGCCCTCTTAAAAAAAACCCCACAGTAACCAAGAAACTGGAAAAGCCAGGGGAAGAAGCAAAAAAGGAGAAGCCAGAACAAACTGATGTGTGACCCTACTCTGCTAGAATCTTCACAAGCATTGCCATTGGCTTCTGTGACAATAATAGATGGACTTTAATTTTCTTCTTACACCGAGCTACTTTCTCTCCCTCCTTGTTGGTAAAACCTATCGCTTACACCGCGGTTGGTAACAAAACTGTCTCTTTGAGCCTGGCAATGGCCCTGCAGTGCCCATTGACAAAACAGCTTGGTGCTTTAGGGTGCATTAATGAAACAAAATTACTCACTTGGGTAATTGCTACAGATCACTAACTTTGTTGCTCATTAAGTCCATACACTTTTTATTTTTTTAATTCTTTTAGTGGCTCCTTACTCAACTGACTCAAGTAGAGCTACTTAGAAAATTTCAACTGGACATAAAAAGCAATTCAAAGAAAAGATGATGAAAACATACAGGCATTTCTGAAAGTATTATGGAAAACTAACCACTGCTGAATTAAAATGGATCCTACATTTTGTATTTAATAAAATTATTTTTGAAAACCGTTTTTATTTCCTCCTTTTTTCCTCCTTTTCACTGAAGCTCAAGAAAATATAAGAAAACACATTTTTCATGCAATTTTTTTACAGTAAACAAGGAAACAGAAAAGTGGAGAAAAAGAAAATGTGTTTGTAGGGGTGTTTGCCTTTCTCATCAATATCTAGTAATTTTGGTCTTATACTTTTTACTTGGAAAACACTAATAGTAGATGAAAACTGAGCTTTCATATTTCATTGCAAATGTTTCCAGGAAGAATAAAATAAAAAACACCACAAGGATTCCCAGACTGAGGAGGCAAACAGCAATTCTATTCTATAATGCCAGAATGAAGCACCAGCCTTGAAAAAAAGTGTTATTTATAGAATTATCAGAAGACTGGAGTTTTAATTTAAAAACAACTTTCTCCCTAAATCTGAGAGCTTCTCTGGAGTGGTTTGTGCCCAGGCAACCTCCACACAGAGGGGTGTGTGTGGGGCTGCACACACAGCTGTGCACATCTGCCTAAGGACATGCTCTGCTCTCGTTAAGACAACTGATATAAGGAGTCACACCTCTTATCTCAGATCAAAGAAGGGAAAGGCAGTGCCCCAGCCAGACCCTTCCCACCTCTAAACACAACTTACCTCTCTTAGCACTCTGGGACTAACATTGCAGCTGGGACGTGCTCACAAAACAACAGGAGTCATTCTGGAGCAGACCGCAGCAGTCTGACAAAGGGCAGGAATAAAACCATGGAAATACACAGCAGCTCCAACCTGGCCTTATTTTCTTTCTCTCTGCACAACAGCCTCACTCAGAAAAAGCTACCATGTGCCAAACATTACTGAGTAACACAGCTCAGCAAGCATGCAGGAACCAGACAGGCTCAAAATAATGTTTTTCATACAAAACACAATGAGGTCATATTTTTCTTTCATCTGGGATAATAAAATTATGCCTTGGCTACAGTGGGCAGTTTCATGCTGAAGGCATCATTGCTGATCCTCATTGCTAAAGTAGAAGCATTCATTTTCATCATGTAGTTTGGGTTGAGAGCAACTGTGTATGCTTTGCAAAACAACCAGATAAGACCCAAAATGCCTTTCCTAGCATCTCACTATACTAAAGATAGATCTAGTAAATAGCTACAAGCACAATCAACTTCTTACAATGCAGTTCAGCAGAGAAGAAAAAGGCATACATACATTTCACAAACAAACAAACAAAAGCATAGAAGTGCGTAAAAGCGAATCTTTGCTTCCAATAAAATAAGTTTAGTAGATATTCTGGATTGCCTTTTGTGATTTTTTCCTTAAATAAAAAGTGTATCTCTCAGTTGAAAAATACTTGGTTTGCACTCTTTCCAGAGATTTCTGCAGATTTAAAGTTCAATCATGTTTTGAAAGATGTTGGGCTAGATTCTGCAATTCAAGCAGCTGTTCTACAAATAAACTGGGCTTCCTCACATAGGTTTCAACTATATGAACTGGGGGTTGCCTCTTGAAGAGACTTTCAAAGCAAGCTTTGTTATGTTGCTAAGATCCAGACAAGGAATGCCAGTCCAGACAAGGTTTAAAATGGATTTAAAGCATTTTATCATCAGACACAAGTCCTCAAAGTGACTAAAGGGGGCAGGAAGGACTGATATTTGAAACTATTGAATTTTTATTTCCCAGCAGGAGATGAGCACTCATATTGTTCCTCAGTGTTTGGGTGGACAATGTTTTTATATCATGTGAACTGAAAAAAAAATTAATAAAAACAATGCTGCACAATGGAACACAGCATTGTTTGGGTAAATAACACTTAGAAGAAAGCCAGTTCATTATTATCACTTGAGATTGGAGGCCCCCACTGAGACCAGTGACCCGCTGTGCTGGATCTGTGTAAATACATGATGAGGCACAGTCCTTGGGCCAAAGAGCTTGCAGTGCAAACACCCAAAGCAAACAGCAGAGGCATTACAGTCATCTTCATACTCAGTGTGGGCCTGTCACATTCTCCAAGTGCAAGGCCTCTCTGCAGTTAATAGAAACATCAGTTTTGCCCTCCTTTTAAGTTTGTTCTCATTTTGCAAGCCCTGTGCTCAGCACTTGAGCTGAATCCTGCAGGGCAGCCAGACGTGCTCTGCCCTGACCCAGAGCCCCGAGCAAAGGTGCAGAATGACCTGGCAGGGAGAGCCCTGTGGCTCCGGCCAGGTGGATCAGTGGCTGCTCTCCCCTGTCCCGAGGAGCTCCTCCTGTGCCGTGGGGATGAGAGCCCTGGAGTGACAGCCACACTCAGGGGAAGGGGAGCCAGGCCTCTGTCCCTCGCTGAGGTCACCATGAGGATGTCTCCAGCTGCCTGCACACTGCTAAGCTGGGACCCTTTCTGACAGAGGAGACCTGCACATCTGGAAGCCAGCTGGAAGGAAGCTCTTCTGCAGCACCTTCACCCATCTCCCCTGTGCTTTTGCAGTGCAACTGGTTCCCCAGTCCCTGATAATTGTGCACAGCACAGCCACAAAGCATGAGATGAGAAATGCCTTGAAGGAGGGGACAAACACCAGTACCATCAGCACCTGGAGTATTTTTCAGCTCTTGCTGAGCTCTTGCAAGCTGAGACTTGCAGGTGTGTGGCTGCTGATGGCTCCTGGTGAGGAGCTGCACTGACCTCATCACACACCAACCATCTTTCTTTCACTGCAGTTCACTGGTACAGGTGATCTGCCCAAATCACCTGGAGCTTGTCTGTTTTTTAATTAATGGGTTATTTTTCAAAAGCCAATTAAAGCAGACATGGCATTATTATGTGGCTGGATCATTATGCTGCACAGAGAACCAAAGGTCTGATATGTGGCTTATGCTTTCTTTGTTCTTGTTGTCAGCCGGACCATTATATTGTTTTCAACATTTAATTTAATTAATTAATTTCTACTGTTGTTATAAATTATTTTCAAAATTAAACCTGGTAGCTACAACAAAGATAATGTGAACAACTCATTAACATCTAATAAGAAAAATAACAAACTTTTAACTTTGTAAATATAGATGTTAAAAAAAGGTATAATTCTGACTACAGCAGTAAACCTCATCAAGGAACAAAACCTCCTAACAAGTCCTTAGCTATCTCCCTGAACCCTTCCCCAATTAGATGTAGTCATGTTAATTGCTGTGAGGAGAATTTGGCAAATAGATGGTGCTCTCCAACAATAGGTTTATTCATTCTAACCCTTCCTTTTTAGGATAATGATGAATTGGCCACTTGTTTCACTGTTCTACTCAGAAATCAAAATGTAAACTTAGAGAAAGCAGAGCATTGCTGGACAATGGGAAATTGTAGATGGGACCTGACCAGGGAGTCAACAGTA